ATTGACTTAATTTTTTGATATTTCAATAGTATATAATTATTAACTTTATTTTGACCTCTAATTTTCTGAGGTTAAAAGCCTTAGAATTGTAACCTTGGCTTTCCTCATTGACCAATCATATATGAATAGACTGATCTCCTTGCCATTAGTGATATAGGTACAGTGGGCTGTGCATATAATTATACCCTTATGTGAAATTTAAGGGCACTGGTATTCATTTTTGGCAGTTATTCTTCAAGGGGCCACTATAGCTAGAAATAGATTATGCTTTGAAATGACTTCTTCTCAAGTAACAAGTGAAAATATCACTGACAAACATAAGCATCCTTGTATAAAAGACCCAACCTGACATGATGGACTTTTTCTTTTAGAGTTATGAAAAATAAGGTATATTAAAATAGTCACTTACATAAACCAGACATCCAGAAGAGGCCACTTTTAACCATTTGTCTCTCTCCTTGTGGGTTTTAATCCCACCAGGGTCTTTTGATTAAGCTATTACACTAGCTAAGCATACAGTTTGTGGTTCTACGTAGTGCCTGAAATAATGCAAAGACGCCAAAGAGAGCATCTTTTGTCTTCCTCTAGCACTTAAGCAGGAAAGTTGACCTGAAGTGATGCTTAGAAAGCTTCTGAAATCTTCCTTCACCAATACAAGCTGGAAGGTCGCCTTGTAATCTGAAATAATGCATAGAGGGCACATGAGGTCATCAGTCACCAATAACCAATACAGCTGGAAAGTTGCCATATAACCTGAAATAATGACTAGAGGGCATATTAGGCCTTGAGTCACCAATAACCAATAAAGCTGGGAAAGTTGCCATATAAACTGAAATAATGCATGAGGGCACATGAGATCTTCAGTCACCAATAAAGTTTGGAAAGTTGCCAAATAACCTGAAATAATGCATGAGGGCACATGAGATCTTCAGTCACCAATAACCAATAAAGCTGAGAAAGTTGCCAAATAACCTGAAATAATGCATGAGGGCACATGAGATCTTCAGTCACCAATAACCAATAAAGCTGGGAAAGTTGCCATATAACCTGAAATAATGCATGAGGGCATTGGGGCACATGATATTTTCAGCCACCAATAGCCAATAAAGCTGGGAAAGTTGCCAAATAACCTGAAATAATGCATGAGAGCATTGGGGCACATGAGATCTTCAGCCACCAATAACCAATAAAGCTGGGAAAGTTGCCAAATAACCTGAAATAATGCATGAGGGCATTGGGCATTGCGATATAACCTGAAATCATGCACAGAGGGCACATGAGGTCTTCAAATACCAATAACCAATAAAGCTTGAAAATTTGCCATATAACCTGATAAGCATGGAAGTGCATATATTAAGTTTTTGCCAGCCAGTAAAACATAGAACATTCCCACAGTTATCTCAGAATAAATGTAACATTTCAACTGACTCTGTGTCAGTTTTATGATGGGCAATTTTCCCAAGAATCTTTTAAATATTGATAAAAGCAATAGAAAGTATCATTTGTATGTTAAAAAAAACTTTAGTATGAATATTTATATGATGAATAAAAATATTTGTTTCTAGAATAATTTATTATCTGCTATATATAGATATGTAATATCGGATTGTGTATCAACAACATCTGTTGTAATGTACACAATGCTATTCACAGAATTATTTATAGTTTTGCATACCTTCCATAATGGACCAATCCATATTGAATAAAATGTGAAGTCCCTATAATTGATGCAAACCAGGTCATAATTTCTATCAAGTCTCCCTCAATTAAGATATTGAAATATCAAATCAGATAATATATCACCTCATTCATGGAGTGTGTTTCCTGGTGTTTTTTCATCCTTGTTAAAGCGGGCAATGTATTCTTTTTGTGATGACATAATTTTAGTGCACAAAGAAAATTAGATTAAACATGTGCATGCATTTTTGACCTATTTATCTATTGTGTTTTAAACAGGGCACACTCTTGACTGAATTTAGCTGGCAAATTGGAAGAGTTTATTTTAGAAAAAGTTATTAATGCATACTTGATAGATTTAATAATTAATTTGTCAGTGGCTAGAAGAAAATGATTACAAAATATTGGTCATTCCCATTGAAAATAAAAACATGTAAATAATAATGGATTATAGTGACATTATTATGAAATTGGTAAGGGCATACATGTTTTTTTGCACTCCCTGACCTATAGCAGTATTAAATCTGATTTGATTACAGGTAAACTTGCTCAAAACTGATAACATCATAAGATCTTAACACCTTTCTTGAAGTTTATACAGAATTTTTTTTAACTCGATTATTTAAGAAGCTTATGTTTATAGACACACTCTAAAATCTGTTCCTGGAACCAATTTTTTCTACTCTATTTTGCCTAAAGTTTTGAGTATTGACCAGCAATAAATCTTTGTTACTTTTTATATTGGCCAAACCCAATCATATGCTACAAAAAAATGGCCTCTTAAAGGGCAAAAAATATGCATGTTTTCCCATTGTCTACAGGATATCTATTTCAGTAAGGCCTTTTTTCTGTAACTGAGCTAGCCTTGTTATTTTCATGGGTTCAAAGTTATGAAATGACCAGATATTGGCAGTTAAAGTCTTGTCTTGAACCAACTATATTAAGATACATAGCTTATAACAAGGTGAGCAATTTCGGGCAAAAATGGCTCTAGTTAAAAGTTCCTATCTCTGTTTGAGTACAACTAAATTACAATGTATTACTAAAATCAATTTGGCTTCTTTTCTCCTTTTTTTACATAAAATTATATATCTTTAAGGGATAGGAATTGATTCACATTAATTTCAAGCAGATATTTGCCAATGTTTAAGACAATTCATGAAGTTTCTATACCTGTAAATTGTGTGTTACAAAATTCACAAATTCTGATCTTAAAACAAGAAAAGAAAAGAAAAGAAAAGAAAAAAGAGCTTTAAATTTATTCAGGGTTTATTGACTTCATGCTGTTGACTTATTAATACACTTAAACAGAGTGTCCCAGTCATTGACTTAAAGTGAGAAAGTTATTCACTTTAGATAAAATAATATCAAACAATGACCTTTAAACTGCCAGTTTGACTTCAGTTGTCCTTCTGTCTAAATTTCAGATCACTTTTCTGACATGCATGTCCTGTTTATAAGTCGATTTGACACGAACAATGCCCTCTAGTAGTTGATGTGATGATTATATAAACTTATAGCTATTGGCTTCTCCAAGTAATACGAATCTTTTATCTGGTGCAATAGAAACAATACAAATACCATATGTTGTATAACGGTATTGATTTTTGAAACTCCTGTTTTAGCTTACTGTACAGAAACTAGGATAAAATATTTAAAAACGATTTTGGTCAGATTTTTATTTTATAATCAACAAGATATTTTTTTAAATCACTTACATAGTGAGTGATATTTATGGGACAGCGGTGACAACTAGATTTGTTTACTGTGAGCGAGTAACTTTGTTTCTTAATGTATTAAACTTTTAAAAAAAAGATGCATCAATCTTGATTAGTAGTTCCACTAATGATAGTGTGTAAGAACCATAACTCTGTCTCCTTTGTATCTTGGATCATGTCCCTTTATTGAAAAAATTAATTATCAATATTAAAGGGTGTTATGTTAATATGTATAAAAAAATATTCAGAAGTACATATTATCACATACCCATGCTGCTTTTGCGACTCTGTAAAAATGGTATTGCATGGCCGTGCATACATTTTGACGTGACGTATACAATCATAGTTTAAAGACACGCTAAATGTTAGCATTACACTATAGGCACATCAATGAAAAATGAGTCTTTTTCACTTTAAACAGTATGTGATATATTTATCAATACTGTTTAAAGTGAAATTTTAAGACTCATTTTCCATATATTAAATTTGTGCAAGTTCATTACTGAATTTATTGAACTCTTTGAATAAATGATATCATGCTGGCCAGAGGCTCGCTTCATGTTATTTTATTCAACTCATTTAATAAATTTAGTATTGAACTTACACTCATTCAATGCCTTCTATTTATGAAAGAAGGCACAATTGCAAAATTTAAAATTTCTAATTCTTATTTTGAATTATCTCCCAATTTGCTCTTTTTTTCCATGTTATCTATATTTAAATGTTTTATTTTCCAGAAAAAAATGTGATAAAGTTGTAGATCAGTGTATACATAGAGGATATTAAATGAGTGTAGTTTAATACTAAATTTATTGAACGAGTTGAATAAAATCATATTATGCGAGCCTCTAGCGAGCATAATATTGTTTTATTCAACGAGTTCAATAAATTTAGTATTGAATCTACATGAATATAATATTCTATTTATCACATATATAAAATAAGAACAGTAAACTGTTAAAATGAGTAATTTTTCAATGACGCGCCTATAGTGTAACGCTAACACAAGCGCGCTTTAACGCTATGTTTCTATATAGCGCAAATGACGTCACGTCAAAGTGTTATTACACTAGTGTAATATCGTTTTTATTAAATAGAGGATATTTGTTTAGTTCAGTGTAAGATCGGAATATATTTCACCGAGTGAGCACCAAAAGGTATATTTCACGAGTGGCGCAGCCACGAGTGAAATATGAACTTTTGGTGTTCACAAGGTGAAATATATTTCGATCTTACACTAAACTAAACAAATTTTCTTTTTATTGTATGCAAAGAAACGTTTTAAAAAGACATTAAACCTAATACTGAATTAAAAGCGCGCCAAATAATAATACAACGTGACGTCATTTACGACGTCACGTCATTAAGTTGGTACCAAGTTCTGTGCACGCTGGTATTTCACTGAAACAACGTAAGGGGCTTAAATTCAAAACAGTGAAATTATCAAAGTGGTAATTTCAGTGTTTCAAACAGTGAAATTACCAGTTTTATATCACTGATATATTTCTATAAACCACCGAAAAGCATGTAATAAATGGCTTTATTACACTCCTGTGCCACGTTTTATGTGATAATGTATAATTATAATCTGTTATTTTATTGCAGACATTGTTCAGTGTACACTTTGATGACCCGTCCTGGGACCAGCATCTGTCATCTCTTAAACCATTGGTAAGTTTTTATCTGTTAAACTTGGTGCAGTTTTAAACTATGATATATCTGGTTAGTTCAACCTCTGTTACAGACTTTTAAATTACTTTCCTCTTATGGGTTTTAATCTCCCCAGAGATTTTGAAGAAGCTATCCAGCAAGCTTGTGGAAGGTCAGTGAGTTTTCTCAGGTGATGACTTTCGTCACTCATGTACTGACTTGCCACTCAGGTGTTGACTTTAGCCACTCAGGTGTTGACTTTTGCCACTCAGGTGTTTACTTTTGCCACTCAGGTGTTTACTTTTGCCACTCAGGTGCTGACTTTTGCCACTCAGGTGTTTACTTTTGCCACTCAGGTGATGACTTTCGTCACTCATGTGCTGACTTTTGCCACTCAGGTGTTGACTTTTGCCACTCAGGTGTTTACTTTTGCCACTCAGGTGCTGACTTTTGCCACTCAGGTGTTTACTTTTGCCACTCAGGTGATGACTTTTGCCACTCAGGTGTTTACTTTTGCCACTCAGGTGTTTACTTTTGCCACTCAGGTGCTGACTTTTGCCACTCAGGTGTTGACTTTTGCCACTCAGGTGTTGACTTTAGCCACTCAGGTGTTGACTTTTGCCACTCAGGTGTTGACTTTAGCCACGCAGGTGTTAAACTGGCCACTCATGTACTGACTTGCCACTCAGGTGTTGACTTTAGCCACTCAGGTGTTAACTGGCCACTCATGTACTGACTTGCCACTCAGGTGTTGACTTTAGCCACTCAGGTGTTGACTTTTGCCACTCATGTACTGACTTGCCACTCAGGTGTTGACTTTTGCCACTCAGTGTACTGACTTGCCACTCAGGTGCTGACTTTTGCCACTCATGTACTGACTTGCCACTCAGGTGTTGACTTTTGCCACTCAGGTGATGACTTTTGCCACTCAGGTGCTGACTTTTGCCACTCAGGTGTTTACTTTTGCCACTCAGGTGTTTACTTTTGCCACTCAGGTGCTGACTTTTGCCACTCAGGTGCTGACTTTTACCTATAAATGGGTGCCATATGACTTACAAAAAATAGATTGAAAAGATCCCAAAAATTGCAAACTATGTTGTAATATACATGTATAATAAGTGTGAAAAGGGATATTTAGAAATTATATACAGTATTTGTAGAAAGTCTGGCTTGTAATTTGTTTCCACTGGATTTTGTTTATGAGTAAATGAAGAGAGAGATTTACAGTTGAAGAGAAGAAAAATTTGAAATTTTGATATAATTTGTTAAAGATTAAAAGTGTTTGAATTAACATTTTATACAGTAATTGTGAATGAACATCCTTTGTTATAAATCTTAAATGCAAATTTGTCTTGAATATATCTAAGTTAATTAAACACATTGTATGATGACACTAGTCATGTAATGTAGGTTATTAATATAATAATGTAGGTGAATTTCGTTCATAAAGGTTAAAGTGGTTTATTTTTAGATGGGAATGAAACTGTTTTCATCATGGATATACATTTGTAAAAATAAGGAGTTTAGATTATGAATGTCATATTTAACACTCACAGCAAAATGTTATTTCATAATAACCTCTGAACAGAGACTATTTAAAATTAGTTTCAACATATTTATTTTAGCTTGATTGTGATAAAAGTGTAAAGCTGTTTTAATTCACCATTGAGTCACCTTCATGGTAGTAACCACCTCTTAATAGAGATCACTTGTAATTGGAAACCACTCATGAAATTTATTTGAAAAATACCTCTTTAACAGAAAACAACTGTCATTTTTACCACTCATGAATTCTTTTCAAGAAAAAAATACCTCTACAAAGAAACTACCTGTTATTCATGACTAAAAAAATTGATATTTTAAAAATGACTTAATGACCATCTGCCTTTTGTATTCATGAACTTTATTTGAAGAATATTTTTAAGCAGAAAACAAGTGTTAAATCAACCTCTCATGAAGTTTCCATTAAAAAGAAACCACCTGAAATTAATGACTACCTTTGTAGACAATATATTATATTGTTAAAAACCACTCATGAATTTTATTTTTATAAACTTCTCGAAAGAGATCACATGTTGTTATAAGCCACTCCACAATCATGTTGTTTTAAACCACTCACAAATTCTATTTTAACATACCTCTCAACAGAGACCATATGTTGTTATAAAGCACTCATGAATTCTGTGTAAACATACCTTTAAACATGGTACCTCTCAACAGAGACAATATGTTGTTATAAAGCACTTATGAATTCTATGTAAACATACTTTTAAACATGGAACACATGTTGTTATAAACCACTCATGAATTTTATTGTAGCATACCCCTCAACAGAGGCCATATGCTTTTATAAACCACTTATGAATTCTGTTATAATTTTCCTGTCAACAATGATCATGTGTTTTTACAAACCACTCATGAATTCTATTTAACACAACTCTCAATAGAGACCATATATTGCATTAAACCACTCATGAATTCTATTTAACATAACTCACAACGACCAAATTATGATAAAAAACAACTCATGAATACTATTTTAATATTTCTCAACAGAGTTGTTACTAACCAGTCATGTATTCTATTTTAGTATACATCTCAATGGAGACCACCTGTTGTTATAAACCACTCATGAATTCTAATTTTAGCATATCTCTATACAGAGACCATAATTATGTTTTATTACTATACAGAGACCATATGTTTTATTAAAAAACTCATGAATTCTATTTTAACATCCCTTTCAACAGAGACCATTTGTTGTATTAAACCACTTATGAATTTTATTGTAACATATCTTTAAACAGAGATCACAATGTCAGAAATAACCACTTATGCATTTTCTTTAAAATATACTTAAATATATAAATGAAATCATCTGTCATTCAAAGTTGATCAAGAATTTTATTTTGAAATTTCTTCTTAATAGAATCCATTCATTTGTCGCCAGCCATATTATTGTCTTTATTATATATTCATTTTTCCTTCTTTTAAAGGTGACACATATCAGTCATGCATGTTACATGTAACTGTTATAACAGGAATAATTTATTTCTCCGCCTATCCAAGTAATTATGGCATTTACTATGCAGAGGTGTGATCAGGATGTGATGTTGTTATAAGCCATTATGCAAACTTCGTGCACTACTAACATCAGTACACTTCATATCAAACATCAGTGCAACAGTGGTACATTTGAATGGTAAATCTATGTCAAACGCAGGTCATTCAAGTGCTCAGTGGTGCACTGAAGGTGAATAGTGTTCAAGCAATGTAATATATAGATGAAAAAAGAAGAAAATGTCTGGGGAGTAGATTATGGAAAGAAACAAATAATTGATTTTTGATAGTACAGCCTGTACAAGCAGAGCGTTCACTATATGAGAAGGGGAGTTTGTTGTTAACAAAGTATATCATTGCAAATGTTTACCCTTAGGTTGCTGGTATCCTAAGTGACTAGCATTTGCCAGCAACTAGTACAGAGCCTGGTCAGCCTGCATGTCCATGTAGTCTGAACAGGCTCTATACTGTCGGCTGACTTATTTAAAATTAACATCTTGATATCCCCCAAATTGGTAATGGACTGTTTCAAAAATGAAAGCTTATCATGCTTAGAATGTTATCTATGTCTCTATAGTCAAAGTACAGGAAAGTAAAATTCCATCAGAGTTACAGCATTGTGTTGTACTATGTTGTACTATGTACTATTCACCTTTGGTCAAAGTACAGTAAAGTACAATGCAGTTTTCATACATTGTTTTGTACTCTGCTAAGGCTTGGTCAAAGTACAGTAAAGTACAATGAAATTATTATAATGTAGAAGTTATTCACTATCTAAAAGTACAATTTCTATATTAGTTCCTTAAATATTTGTTTTTTAGAAGTTGGAATATGGGTCAGAATATTTATTTTTTTACAATTCCAATAACTTATATGAACTTGCCTATCCCTCACTCTGGATAATACATAAATCATCATTACGGACATTTCAAAGTAATTTTTAGTTTTGACTGAATAGCAAACAGTGCAGTTTGTGATAAGATAACACCAATGTGCCAGCTGATTTTGGTCTACACACTGGTGGCACAGTAGGTATATTTGGCAGGGTTAAGGGATAAAACTATATGAGCAAAAGTGCCAATCAATGCCACTAGTTAAAGTATGGACCAGCATATACACCGCCTTGGTACGCCAATTATAAAGAACCTCCAGAACCTGGCGAAAGTGGGTTTTTCCCATCTGATCCCAATGTTATGACCCATATTTTACACCAATTTTTTTTTTGAATTTAACATTATGAAAGCTTGCATGTGCAACTGATGTATATATTTGATAATCTTTGTACTTTCATATTTTGTGTGTTTGTAAATACATGTAAATGATTTAAGTATATTTTTTAATGGAAACTAAGATTTCTTTTCAAAAGAATGGCTCCTTATTCCATTTAAGTGACATGTCCAATCTGTGACCCACAAACAGAATCTTGGAAAAAAAACTGTAACAGAAATCTCTTAGTATTAAATATGGCTTCCTCAGGTAAAGGTCACATTTAATCATTCAAAATAACTCTGTAAATGGAAGCTGGAAAAATCTATTTATAGAAAAGATTAACTTAAATGAAGATATTTGTTCAATTATTTTCCGACTTTTCTTGAAATTCTATGGAAACTGTTGAATTTACACATATATTTGTTAAAGTCAATAATTGAAAAAAAACAGTGTATCTTGACAATTAGAATGATTGCCTGGTTTTGTGATAGTGACGAGTTTATGTGAACAGAGGGTGTGCTGCATCACTTACAACTCTTGTTTATCTCTGAACTTTTTGAACAGGTCTTGACATCATTACTTTTAGGCAGCTTTAATGACTTCTGTACTCCTGTATTCTACTAAGATACTCTACTTTTGATATCCTTGCCATTGTTCAGAATATACCCCCCACCCCCCAGCAGGAAAAAGAAAATGAACTGTTCTCTTGCTGTTGACATATAATTATGGTGTTCATCCCATTCAATTTGAAGTTTCTCCAAACTGAGGCTACATATTATGAAACTCTATGTACTGGTAAATTCAGTACAGTATCAGTGCATCATTGTTCTCTATCTAGGTCTGTTTCAGGTCAGTTGAGTACAGATAAGTACACTGCTAGTGTATTACAGTAGACAGTTTAAGGCAATATGGGCTATTTATGAGAAAAGAACTGGGCAAATAGTATTACTGTGTCTTTGTATGTGTGACAGAGGTAAATAAACAATTGATTTTTGTAGGTACAGAAATGTAAAGTGGGTACAGAAATAAAGTTAGCAGAATGATGAATATTGGAGAAAATGACAAATAAATAATAGATTCATCCCATTATTAAAATACGCACTTTTGGAACAGGACTGATTTCTGTAATTGGTGTTAAGTGTAGGTAATGAAATAGTACATTGAGAGTTATTTTGGTTCTGAAAGCTGGAGATAGGTTCTGTATTCTTATTTTATTGTTGATGCATTTGAATCAGATCAGCTTAGTTTGAGAAACTCGTATTTCAAAATTCATGTAAAAATACTGTGTCATGTGAATTAAGGCATGAATTCTCGGTGCAAAAGTGTTATATGTAAGACACTTATTGTCTAACCTTCATCTATATAAACTGTGGTATTATCATATAGTTCTACTTGATATACCCATATGAATTACATTTCCACACCAATTTTTACAGTGAAACCATTGAGTTATTTTTTTGCTCTATTTTTAGAAAAGCATTATTTTCCTCTTGAAACAGCTTTGTAACCTAATTTGCAGAACCCTGAGGATTTAATCACATTTAATATGACATTTAATGTCCCTTTTTGATGTAAAATATTAAATTTCATCAAAATATAATGTAAAATGTTGTTTCAGTGCTTTTATAAATATTTGAAGTGGTAAAAACATCATTAAAAGTTAAACATTTGATGTTAAATTTTGGTTAAAATGGAATTTGTAAAAAGAAATTGATACAGATGCTATGTAAGATAGTAGTATGGGTAAAATAAAAATGATAAATATTAAATCATAACTGTTAGGCCTATATATGGGAATATGGGTATAATGTGATGTAAAAATCATAAAAATGTAAAAAATAAAATTGTCATTTGTTTAATAGAATTATAATACGAGGTAAAAAAATGTTTAATTTTGGTGATTGTAGTGATATGTCATACTGATGATTTAGCCCAACAAATTGTGCGCTTTAGGCCTTTTTATTATATAGACGATGGTCGCCCTTCGTAAAGACAGACATCTATGAAAAATCAAATCGGTCGCTCTTGCAGTCGAAATATTGAGACTAACTGATGATTGTGTCTTGCATATGTACTGTTGCACAGAGTTATTAATAAATGACCAAAGGAGTTTGAAATTCTACCAAAATGTAAGAAATATAGTAAATATGGTATTAAATCAAATTTATGTGTTTATTTATACCAATTACATAATCATATGGGTGGTGTGGGGGTGTCATTTTTAACTATATTTAATTGTCGATATAAACATGAAACACCTGATTGTCAAAGTCCACATCAATAATGTTCTCTTATAATAAATACATTTTGATAAACTACATGTATGTGTATATAGATAGAACTTTTTTCTACTCATAAAGTCCAAAATTGGTTGATGAAGACAGGTTTGAAATCTGTAATAAGTATGCATGAGGTCAATTTGTCTGTTTGATTACATTAGCCAATGTGCCGTTATTTACACATTACGTAAACAAACATGTAACATGTACTATAACTTCTGATTTGCCTTGTCCTCGATATATGTATCAAACAGAATTGTAAATAGCTACCGGTATGTATCATGTATATTCGCAATATGGATTTTACCTTGCCATGCATCAATATGACCGACAAGTATGGCAATGCCTAAACAAGCTGTTACAAAATGGAAAAAACCATTATAATTTTTAGCTCGACTATTCGAAGAATAGGGAGAGCTATTGTAATCACCCGGTCATAGACGTCTGACCGTCAAACTTTGGTTAAATTTTTGCATGCAAGTTGGAATCTCCAAACTACTGACTTGGAACAGGTTAAAACTTGTCTGATCACATTTTGTTCTCTGTGATTATCTAACGTGATGGACAAAGGCCCAACAACTTTCTACAGAAGTTATACCCCTTTTCATACTATCAAGCACTGACAATACATGTAGTGGAGTGTGCTGTCTTACAAAAATAATGTGACAAATACCTCTTTTGTCACATCCTTGGCATATAATTTGTGTTTAGGTCAAGGCAGTGTCTAAGATAATAAAACCCTGTTATAATAAACACATGCTTTTCTATTTTGATTGTATAAGCATGTGTACAAAAGTTTGTTTATGTAAGCTATGGCATTATAGTCTTAATGATACATGTACATTGAATATTCCTTCTGTAGATGAAATTTCAATGTTAGATTGTGTGTAACTTTTACTTTATTCATGAAATGTTATTTAAAGAGGGCTCCCCAAAGAGGTTTTTACAAAAAATTGTCTTCCCCCCTTTGTGCTGTACCATTAATTTTTTTGTGGGTCTAATCAATAACTTTTGCACAAAATTTCAGAGCATTCCCAAATTAATCATTTTAATTGTGCAAATTGACCAAAAAAAAAAGAAAAGTATTTATTAAATCCTTAAAGAGTTTGACAATTTAACAAATATTTTAGTGTTATGAGCTAATCTGAATAAATAATTTCAGAAATTTTTTCCATGTTAGCTACACTTTTATCTAAAATTGCACAGGACATAAAATTTAATTTGGAGCTGTTGTATTGGATATACAGTAAATGTCGCTATTAACAATATTTAGGGGGCCACTGAATTTATATAGGTATATCCGAATATTGTTATATCCGAGAGGCAACCAATTCGAAAACATGAGTTGGGACAGCAGCAACAGCATTGTTTTAAGTGGTATATTGTTATAAGCAATATGTGTATAAGTGGAGTTTACTGTATTATATATATTTCAGGGTTTGACTGTATTAGCAAACACATGTAATTTGGAGACATCATCCTGGTATACACAATTTGCTGATCATGTGGCTAGTGCAGGGCTACAGAATGAAGAAACTGTGGCTGTTGTCAATAGAAGGTGAATATAGACTTTGTGTTTAATTGAACATTCCATCAAATGATTTGAGCCGTGTCATGACAAAACCAACATAATGGGTTTGCGACCAGCATGGATCCAGACCAGCGCGGATGCGCAGTCTGATCAGGATCCATGCTGTTCGCTTACCAACTCTATTACAAGTAGAGAAACTGATAGCGAACAGCATGGATCCTGATCAGACTGCGCAGATGCGCAGGCTGGTCTGGATCCATGCTGGTCGCAAACCCACTATGTTGGTTTTGTCGTGACGCGGCTCATTTCTTATTTGTTTCCTTTTTTTACTTTTATATATGGTATATGGCATATTTTAATTTTGATTCTTATGAAAACTGAGCAATTATTTGAGCCACTCCACAATCTGCTTCCTGGAACTAACTTGTAATAGTTCAGTCTCAATAAAGGCTCTGAATATTTTGTTGACTGCTTTGTTCATTTTCTATGCAAATAAAAACTGGTTCTTCTTGTGTATGAAACATTACTGGTTCCCCTCGGGTGCCTGTTTGCACCAGAAACAATACTGGTTGTACTTGTGTACCTGTTTAAGCCAGGAGCAATGCTGGTTCTTTTAAAGTGCCTAAAAAAGCCTGGACAAAGGGGCGTTAGTTGCTGTGTGGTTAAGGTTGTTGACTTCAAACCATTTGCCCCTCACTGCTTTGGTTTGAATCCCAATTAGATTCTTTCATGTGAAGAACATTACTGAATTTTATTTTCATTTGACAATAATTTGAATACTTTTATTTTTATATTTCCAGATGTATGTGTTCCTTGGCAAGAGAAATTGGCTTTTCTAACAATGCTATGGATATCTTTACTCTCGAAAAAACTCTTGGAATGTACAGACAAGTGGTAAAGTAATTTAACTATTACAGCAGAGTTCATAGCCACAGCTTGAAGTTCTACTCTCTTTTTTTTTCTTAGTTTGTGTTTCTCTACAGTTTGATTGTAGCATCTTTAATTATCCTATTCAATGCTCGCAAAACAAATAAAGAAAAAACAACAACAACTACAAAAACAAACAAAAAACTTGAGAATTTTTATTTCGGATTTTAAGCTGATCGCTCTTTCCTGTTTTCACTAACCTAAATTGTTTCTATGATACTTTTGTATATTATCAAATATTAAAAAAAAAATTATTTCACGCATATTCACAATATGAATTATGAATATATATAAATTAAACTTAATTTTAGCCCAGAGTGTGAACCAGTTGCTTTAAACTACAAGTTAAGTTTTCTCGTAAATAGGTTATCCGATCAATGATAATGTGCGTACGAGATAAATTTAGCTGTATAGGAATTTTCCGTCCTCTCTTACAGTAGTCCTGCATGTAAACATGCATGTAACAGAGAGAGCATTCAACCTGCTAATTAAAAAAACAAATACGTCTAGACAGATTGATTCAGAATACAGTCTTTTAACCCATATTTGTGAACTTCAGTATTCTGTACTTTACCCAACATGTTCATATATTTCTATTTTAGTCTGCCGAGATGACAACTAAGGAAAGATTGCAGCGAGCCAAATCCTTCATTCAGCATAAGATACCGATGCCAAATATGGTGTCTGTGGTCTTACGAGAAAAAATATCTGGTAATAATATGCATGTATGGTACTGGTATAAAACATACTTTAAATGAAAAAAAAAATATTAAAGTTTTTCCTACATTTATAGGTTAACCAATTAAAGTTTCTTTATAGGTTAATTACACACAATTTTAATAAAAATTGAATTCCTTTAAAAAACACATAGCATGTAACATAGCACATTTTGCTGTGCAGATCATCAATATTTTTGACTTTTCTTCATACCACTTCACAGTAGTAAGAAAATACATGTCAGCTTTGGTTTATGATTTTATTTTAAGAATATTTTGTTGAATTTTCCTACCTATTCATGACATGACCAACTTTCATGTCCTTAATGTCTGAACTGAAAAACAAAAACTGCTAAATATATGTAAACTTAAGACTAACAGTGAAGAGAATCCTCAGACTGTCTTTGTCTTGTTCAACACCACACTGCTTGATTATTTAGAAGATCAACCTTATTAAAAGGAGTACGGTAACATTGTGTGCAAGGGTGTTCTTGTTATTAGCTCGACTATTCGATAAGAATAAGTAGAGCTATTGTAGTCACCCGAGCGTCGGCGTCGGCGTAACCACTTATGTTAAAGTTTTTGTAATAGTTTAAATATTTTCAAAGTCCATTGACATATGGCTTCAAAACTTTGCACACTTGTTCACCATCATGACCCCAACCTGTAGACAGGAGGAGGTAAGTCTACCAAGCATTTTGACATAATTATGCCCCTTTTTCAACTTAGAATTTACGTTAAAGTTTTTGTAATAGATCAAATATTTTCAAAGTCCATTGACATATGGCTTTGAGACTTTCACACTTGTTCACCATCATGACCCCAACCTGTAGACAGGAGGAGGTAACTCTATCAAGCATTTTGACAGACTTATGCCCCTTTTTTGACTTAGAATTTACGTTAAAGTTTTTGTAATAGTTCAAATATTTTCAAAGTCCATTGACATATGGCTTTGAAATTTTGCACACTTGTTCACCATCATGACCCCAACCTGTAAACAGGAGGAGGTAACTGTATCAAGCATATTTTTTTTACTATCAAGCACTAAGAATAGTCTAGCGTTGCTGTCCTACCTACAGCTCTTGTTTTTAGGTTCCTGTCAGTTGCTGACACAAGGTACAGCAGATATTGTGTTGTCATGTTGCACAGATTTCTGGGACGGTCAAGATCTCACACCACTAACACCGACAGAAAGGTAGCAAAGTTTTGATTCTACATTCTCTACATTTGTGTCATGAACTAGCCCTACTATTGATTTGGAAGTGTCCATTGTTGATTTAGGGTATTTATATATGAAACTGCTGATTTATAATCTACCAGGAGTGTTGAATCTAGTCAGACGGCTTTAATGTTCATGCTGGTGAGGATTTATACTTGTGGTGTATGCCTGTAATTACTACAGCTATCATCCATACAGTTCATTTCTAGGTTCATTGGGAGGGCAGAGCAGATGAAAATATACTTTTATGAAATATGGGAAACAAAAATTTCCCAAAACAACAATGTACATTTATATTGTATGCTCGCAGATTTGATTTTGGCTACTACTGTGAAAAAATTGCAACATTTTTGTTACAAAGTAGATTCTAATTTTTGATTAATCAAAGTAAGTTGTATTGTTTTAGTTGACATAAACAGTACATGTGTAATGAGAGGGCTTTATGCTAAAGAATGCAAATCATATAAAACAGTAAAAGGGAAACAACCATTTTCTAAAAATAGGAATATTTAATATTTTAACTGCAATGAAATCTAGACTTTACATCTGTAAAATGAACATTCACAGTATTTGTATGTGTTAAATTCTTTACATGTAATTATACAGGAAGAAGATACTGGATTTTTATCACCGTACAAGTATTGGTTCATATTGTACAGCATTTTCATATTGTCCAGTAAGACAGAGTATGAGTGGTAGTTCAGTAGATCTATATGTGGAACTCCCAGATGATACACATCTTATAAACCTGGCTGGTAGTATGGCCTCGCTGTAAGTCTGCTGTAACATATACACCATATATTGCACACCCGTGCCACTTTTGCGACTCCATAAATATGGTATTGCACGGCTGTGAATATATTTTGACCATTACGTCATTTGCATTAAAAATCATAGCATAGAAACACTCTGTTAATGACACACTATAAGCGCGTCAATGAAAAAGTAAAGTAAACAGTTCTATTTTGGATATTTGATAAATAGAATATTATATTCGTGTAGCTTCGTAACTAAATTAATTGAACTTGTTGAATAAAATAATATTATTCTTGCCAGAGGCTCACATAATATGGTTTTATTCAACTTGTTCAATAAGTTTATTATTGAACCCACACTCATTCAATATTCTCTACATGTATATATAACATGTTACTATCATAAATATGTCCTACTACTGGTAGGTTAAATAATATTTATTTTTAAATGGTCAGTTAGCTAATTTTAGAGAGAGAAAAAATGGCATTGAAATATTTGAGTGAAATTCTTGCACAAAAATTTATGTTTTCAGTTAAAATATTTAAAGAATTGTGTATATATATATACTCATATAATGTATTTTACATTTAATAACCTAGAATTGTATGAAAAAAATTACCAACCTTTTGTAATATTTTATGTATTTTATGACTGTTGTTGGTTTTCAGTGACAGAGATCTTGAATTAATGTCAGATGTGCATGGTCCTTGGGATTTCCCGCGATCTTTCAGTGCCGATTCATTGATAGATTCAATGAGTATCCAATCAGCAGACGACAGTAACAAAGGGGTATTACAGACACAGTGTAATCAGGTGTTTATAGGAATGGTTACCATGCAGTATCAGGCAAGACAGGTTAGGAGAAAGAAATAATACAAATGTATAATTGAGCTGTGTCATGACAAAACAAACATAATGGGTTTGCGACCAGCATTGATCCAGACCAGCCTGCGCATCCGCGCAGTCTGATCAGGATCCATGCTGTTCGCTATCAGTTTCTCTACTTGTTATAGGGTTTGTAAGCAAACAGCATGGATCCTAATCAGACTGCACAGATGCGCAGGCTGGTCTGGATCCATGCTGGTCGCAAACCCATTATTTTGGTTTTGTCGTGACGCGGCTCAATTAATATAACTCATAGCATGGTAAAGACAACAGATGCTACCTATGTGTCCAGTGCAAATCAAGATCAGTGGGTACATCTGTGCGATCAGATCATGGCTATTGAGTTATTTTATATTTTGAAATTTTGTCTAAAAATGGTGAATTGTTGTAGTCAGAGTAAAATATGGACAAGTCCTTTTAAGACATTTAGCAAGGTTAGGCTAAAACTAAGCATTTGTACTACTATTTCCATAAAACTTTGTTAAGGCTATCATTATATACTTAATGGGTTTTGTATTGATACCACAAATTTAATTAATAGTTTTGATGGCACTAAACAATATTGCAGTATCAACATCATATAATAGCTTGATGATTGCATACCTAGATCATTAGGTAGAGCTCAAGGTCTAAGGACCTTGGGTTGGTAGGTTTAGGTTTGGGGCACTGCACATATATTAAGTGATTATTTTATTACCAACAATATGTTTTATCCAATTCTCACTTGACTTCCTCACTTTTGAATGATCTACAGTAAGTCAGCCAGTATATGACTGATACTGTTCAACTGGCACGTAAACGAAACAAACACATTGAATAATTGTTATTTCGCAGCAAGTATTTAATATTTGGTGTACTGTTTGCTGTTCTATGTTGTATAATTTAGAGGGACAAGTTTCATATATACGTGTACTCATATTAAATAAACATTAAAAATTGCATTATTTTCAATTGTTACAGGACTTCATACAGTTAATAGACAAGCTGGAAGGAGCGTGTATACGTTTTGTACACTTCTCCCAGGAGAATGAGGTACGGAGTCGTGTATTTGCGGAGAAGATGGGTCTCGAGGCCGGCTGGAACTGTCATATATCTCTACGTTCTGAGGAACAATATCTGTCTGCCATGTCCGCTAATATATCTGGGCATGATGCCTCACAGTATGTTTATATGTTTATTTTAGTTTTTCGCGTTTTCTATATTGTCTTTTTTGCTTTTGTTCCAGCTTGTGTTTGAAATGCATAAAAGTGGCAACTGAGGTCTTTCATAAATTGTATTAAGTAGGAAAGACAATATTATCATAACAAAAATATAAGTCTGAAAAAAGCTCTTTAATTAAAGGGGCACTTAGGGTAAATAGAATTAGAAGTTTGCACCTACCAACTAGGAGTCCTATTTGGAAGGAGTTTTATTTTAGGTAGAGAAATTTTGTCACAACTATCTTCTTGTACCTGAGATAATGTCATTAGGGCTTTCAACAATTTAAGCTATTTGCCATATAGCCCAAATTAGCTAAATGACTTGGAGTTTTGAATAGGATTTTTCACATCCAATGCACACAATTACCATTCAGCCAAGATGTTTGGTATTAATATTTGAGAAAAAAATCATTTGTGACATGTCTAGATATTAGGTTGCTAAGATGAGTTTAAATCTTGAAATTCTTGGAACATATCATGGGATTATTATTAAAGTAAAATATATGTATGAGATAAATTTCATCACAACTAAAGCTAATATCATAATTGAAGTACATGTAATTGAGTTAATATAAATAAAAATGTAACAGAGTCATATGTATAGTAAATAAGTAATTATAAATGGGATGTAGAAAAGCTGAAACAGTGAAATCTGACTAAAATCAAAATCAGCTGAATTGTAAGTAAAAATTTACAATTAAATAAAAGGGTGACAATTCAAGGTAAATGCAATTTTGCAAGGTGGTATAAAGTACAAAATTTGCGTTAAACCATTAATTTTAAAAAAAAATTACAAAAATGGTTTAATCATATTACAGACATGCCAGCAGACGGTCCACCGTCAGCATTCCAAAGGGAGAGAAGCCTGTTATGTCCAAAATTTCTAGAAAGATCTCACAGCAGATGTCAAACAAGGAGAGCAGAAGCCAAAGTGCACCTAGCATAGTAAATCTCGGGTCCTCTCAGGTGAAGTTTGAAACCCAGGTGAAAACAGCCATAGTGAGTCCGAGGAAAGTGAAAGCTGACATGATGATAGATGCTCAAGTTATGGAGGAGGTCCTTTTACTACATGATGAACAGCTGCATGTAAGACACTCTTGATAAACTATAACTGGTATTATACATGAAGTCTCACTCATCCCAAGTTATTAGTACAACCTTGTGGTTTATTCTAGAGCTTTATTTGTATAGTAGTATAACCTGTGCAGAGCTGCACCCATTGAGAGGCAAAATATTTTGGTGTTGATCTAGAGAGGTTAAATGTGTTGGCCACCATGTAAAAATATTCAATTAATTGACATTTTATATGTCATTTTGTCCTTGTTCTTAATAATCACAGTAAAAAAAATCTATAATAAAAAAACCCAAATTATTATATTCTGTGTTACAGTATGGAGATGACCTAAATGTATCAGATATAGAGATGGATGGTGAGGATCATTCGGCCTGGATGAGTGAGGAGGATCTTAGCAGGCAGGCGTCCAGTTATATCACAGAAAACACCGAGGACAGCCTTGCCTTTGATAATAGGGTGAATATTTTAGTATAAATGTATGCCTTTTGTCACCGTGCCTATACCGTATGACATTTTGAGATCTGTGTGGGGCAGAAAACCGATACAAAAGTTATCAACATGAAACTTGAAATACTTGCTTAACATGACAAGATGCAGTTGTTAATGTTAGACAAGTGTCATAATATAGTGTTATAGATGAAGTTATGCCCCCTTTTTCATTTAAATTGTTAGTCAAAAATTGGGGATTGATAGTCGTTGACATATAACATATGACCCTTAACACGGCATGCAATGCTCTTGTTTAAGTATCAGCTGACAGGAATTGGTTATCAGCTGATTCCTTCATTAAAAAAACTCTGTGCAATAATAACCAGGCAATTCCAGATTTGGCGATTTATCATATTTTAGGTGTATTGTTGCATGTCTGGTTGTAAGTCTAGTTGAAGATTTTTCATGTTTAAAAAATGAGATTTCCTTAGTAAATTGTGTATCAGAGATAGTTAAACTACAGAATGCTAACACACAATTTTTCTTTACAGATCAGATCTCAGACCCCTTATATTATGTTTAAATAAATCTTGTCTTGATGTTTAAACAATTTTATTTCTACAAATTTTATAGAATTATGTCTTCCAAAATTTTTGGGAGACATATTGTTTTTGCCTTAGCCTTCTGACTGTCCGTCCGTCGGCATTAAGCTTGTCAGCCCTTCACAGGTAAAACTACTGGTGGGATTTCAACCAAACTTTACAGGAGTGATCAGTACCCTCCCTTGTTGTGTTCATCACCGGCACGTTCCGCTTCGCTGCACAAAATGGCCGCCAGAGCTAAAAATAGAAAATTCTTGTCCGCCCTTCACAGGTCAAACTCCTGGTGGGATTTCAACCAAACTTTACAGGAGTGATCAGTACCATCCCTAGTTGTGCATATCACCTGCACATTCCCTTTGCTGCACAAAATGGCCGCCAGAGCTTAAAATAGAAAAATCTTGTCTGCCCTTCACAGGTAAAACTACTGGTGGGATTTCAACCAAACTTTACAGGAGTGATCAGTACCATCCCTAGTTGTGCATAACACCGGCACGTTCCGCTTCGCTGCACAAAATGGCCGCCAGAGCTAAAAATAGAAAAATCTTGTCTGCCCTTCACAGGTAAAACTACTAGTGGGATTTCAACCAAACTTTACAGGAGCGATCAGTACCATCCCTAGTTGTGCACATCACTGTCATGTTCCGCTTCACTGCACAAATTGGCCGCCAGAGCTATAAATAGAAAAATCTTGTCTTGCTTTCACAGGTTAAGCTACTGGTGGGATTTCAATGAAACTTCACATGAGTGACCATACATAGTTTTGGCAGACATATGTTTTTGTGACAAAAACCCTTTTAGTTTGAATTATAATGATTTCGCTTTTTTGGAACCTACTGGTACTGATTACGCTGAACTACATTCATCAAATGAAGTGTATACGTAACAAGTACGCATGAGTTACTGAGGATGATGATTTCATTGTTACTACCACATAAAATATGCAATCAATTTCACTCTTTAAGTTTTTGATACTGAAAGCAACATGTATAAACTCAATTGTAAATAAAAGGGGTAATATTTTTTCGTTACTGCTACAACTATAAATACACATATGGAAATTTGAGAATCTCATGAAGAATGTTGTATTATACAAGAATGTTTCTTCATTTTTCAGACAGATGATTTGTATATTTCTCCCAAATATGACTTTATAGGAGTAATCAAAGAGGTTTTTATAATTAACACATTCTTTGTACATCCACAATCACAATGCACTGTATCGAGATCAAAAAGAACTATCAAATTTCATACAGTCAAATTTTTACCGGTATATAAAGTTTACTAAAGGAAAAAAATGATATTTAAACCATTCTAGAAAAGAATGTGATTGTCATAAAAAATGCAAGTTACACCTTTACACGGTAGATAGGAAGTATAACACATATACCATGTACATACAATAAACTAATTTATACATTAATTATACTGTAAAATCATTATTATTTGTGGGGCACGAATTTTCGTGGTTTTCGTGGGTAGGTCAATCCACGAATTTAAGATCCAACGAAATTTTATTCCAACAAATACTTCTTGCCATGTCTCTATTCTATATATTACAAGGCAAGGATTAAATCTATTGACAAGTGCTGTGTGATACTTAAAGATATGTATGTACATGCGGTTAGTAAAATGCGAGGCGATTAAGTGTAAGATTACTTTGCATAAGGTTATTTATTTTATTTTTTACAAGAAATTGAAAATCCACGAATTTAAGAACCCACGAAAATGCCCGTTTTGATAAAACCACGAAATTTCATGCCCACGAATATAAGTGAATTTGCAGTACTTGTATATATACCACCTTCCCCCACTTTCTACCATACACACATACCTCCATGCAAATCATGTCACTACACTCTCATTCTAAAAACTTTCCAAAAAAAAGAAAGAAAGAAAGAATCAAAAAAGGAAAAATAGAAAGAAAGAAAGAAAGAAAAGAAAGAAAGAAAGAAAGAAAGAAAGAAAAAGAAAGAAAGAAAGAAAGAAAGAAAGAAAGAAGGAAGGAAGGAAGGAAGGAAAGAAGGAAGGAAAGAAGGAAAGATAAATGTTGTTATTGAACAATTTTTTATGATTATTCTTGAAAGTAGAAAGATAGACTTTTAAGCATAGAGGCTTGCAGCATGCATGTTTTTTCTTCCTGTGTGTTTTTTTTTTTTTTAGCTCACCTGTCACAAAGTGACAGGGTGAGCTTTTGTGATCGCTTTTCGTCCGGCGTCCGTCCGTCGTCCGTCCGTCCGGCGTCCGTCGTCCGTCCGTAAACTTTTGCTTTAAATGACATCTCCTCATAAACCACTGAGCCAATTTCATCCAAACTTCACAGGAATGTTCCTTTGGTGGTCACCTTTAAAAATTGTTCAAAGAATTTAATTCCATGCAGAACTCTGGTTGCCATGGCAACCGAAAGAAAAATCTTTAAATATCTTCTTTTAAACAACCCTAAGAGCTAGGGCTTAGATATTTGGCATGAAACATCTTCTAGTGAGTGTCTACCAAGTTTGTTCAAATAAAAGCCCTGGGGTCAAAATTGGCCCCGCCCCAGGGGGTCATTGATTTTCCCTATATGCATATAGTAAAAACTTAAAAAATCTTCTTTTAAAGAACTGTAATAGCTAGAGCTAAGATATTTGGCATGAAACATCTTCTAGTGAGTGTCTACCAAGTTTGTTCAAATAAAAGCCCTGGGGTCAAAATTGGCCCCGCCCCGGGGGTCATTGAATTTCCCTATATGCATATAGTAAAAAAACTTAAAAAATCTTCTTTTAAAGAACCGTAAGAGCTAGAGCTTAGATATTTGGCATGAAACATCTTCTAGTGAATGTCTACCAAGTTTGTTCAAATAAAAGCCCTGGGGTCAAAATTGGCCCCGCCCCAGGGGGTCATTGATTTTCCCTATATGCATATAGTAAAAACTTAAAAAAATCTTCTTTTAAAGAACCATAAGAGCTAGAGCTTAGATATTTGGCATGAAACGTCTTCTAGTGAATGTCTACCAAGTTTGTTCAAATAAAAGCCCTGGGGTCAAAATTGACCCTGCCCCAGGGGGTCATAGATTTTCCCTTTATGCATATATTAAAAACTTAAAAAATCTTCTTTTAAAGAACCCAAAGAGCTAGAGCTAAGATATTTAGCATGAAACATTTTCTAATGAGTGTCTACCAAGGTTGTTCAAATAAAAGCCCTGGGGTCAAAATTGGCCCCGCCCCAAAAACTTAAAAAATCTTCTTTTAAAGAACTCAAAGAGCTAGAGCTAAGATTTTAGCATGAAACATGTTCTAATGGGTGTCTACCAAGTATGTTCAAATAAAAGCCCTGGGGTCAAAACTGGCCCCGCCCGGGGGTCATTGATTTTCCTTATATGTGTATAGCAAAAACTTAAAAATCTTCTTTGAAAAAACCCAAATAGCTAGAGTTTAGATATTAAACATGAAACATCTTTAAGTAAATATCTACAAAGTTTGTTCAAATAAAAGCCCGGGGGTCAAAACTGGCCCTGCCCCAGGGTGTCATTGTTTTTAACTATATGTGTATAGTGAAAACTTTAAAAATCTTCTTTTAAAAAACCCAATGAGCTAGAACTTAGATGTTTAGCATGAAACATCTTCTTATGGGTGTCTACCAAGTCTGTTCAAATAAACAAATAACAGCCCTTGGGTAAAAATTGGCCTGGGGGTAAGGGGCCTATATACAGGTGAGCGACCTCAGGGCCACCATGGCCCTCTTGTTTTTTTTTATGAAGTTTTATCATTTTAAGAACACATTGTTTTAAAACAAGGTAAAATATACCAAACAGGTCATTAAATGTAAACAAGCAACCCAAAACCTCTTATGTAAGGTTTGTAGAAAATGTTAAAATGCAATTTATAGGAGTGGGATTTGTTAAAGGAGGCAGGGATAACATACATGTACATTCTTTTCTGATGGTAATTAATGTCCATAAACCAAAAAAAAAACAACAAACAGTAGTAAAAATGTGTCTTGAATGAATGGACTTTTTCCAAAAATGTTTATGAAAGAAATATATTATGTTGATTGGCCACTGTTACATTATTATTGTAGTTTTTGTAAATAACTTATGTGTCTTGTGCATATTTGTCTGAAGATCCATGAAAATAATATGTGTTTCAATAATTATTATCCTGTTTACAAATTATCATATTTGAGTGAAGTAACATATATATGAGCCGCGTCACTACAAAACCAACATAGTGGGTTTGCGACCAGCATGAATCCAGACCAGCCTGCGCCTCCGTGCAGTCTGATCAGGATCCATGCTGTTCGCTTACCAACTCTATTACAAGTAGAGAAACTGATAGCAAACAGCATGGATCCTGATCAGACTGCACGGATGCGCAGGCTGGTCTGGATCCATGCTGGTCGCAAACCCACTATGTTGGTTTTGTCATGACGCGGCTCAATTATTTCTGTGATTTCAGGCAAAGTTACCTCGAGGTATAGAAAATATCCGTCCACATCTTAGGAATGTAGATAATGTACCGTTACTGGTAAATCTATTTACAGACTGTACACCAGAGAGTAAGTAATATCATTAGTCCCCTACTGGTTTAACCGGAGGGGACTTTAGGTTTACCCTCCGTCCGTCTGTCCGTCCATCTGTTTGTCCGTCAGTCCGTCTGTCCACAAAACTGGATCCCGCGATAACGCAAAAAGTACTAAAATTATTTTTATGAAACTTGATATATGGATAGATGGCAGTATGGACATTATGCACGTCTTTTTTTTTTTCTTCCTATGTTGAAAATTCTGGTTGCTATGGCAACAAATAGTCTGAAAATATGGCAAATTTAACACATAAACTGGATCCAGTGATAACTCAAAAAGTACTGAAAATATTTTTATGAAACTTAAAATATGGGTAGATGGCAGTCTGGATATTATGCACATCTTTTTCTTTTCTTCCTATGTTGAAAATTCTGGTTGCTATGGCAACAAATAGCCTGAATTTCAAGATTTCTGATTTAAATTTTTCAGCTTTTTCACTATAAGTTCTTTATTTCTTAAGGTGTTTACTTCAAACTTTAAATATAAGTTTCTGACCATCAACCACATCATATGTGACAAGGTTTACAACTCTAGCACAAAAATTATCAGCATTACCTCCCTTGAACTTAATATTTTTATGGAAAAAAAATGTTGTCTTTTTTAAATTACTTCTTTATTTCCTAATGTATCTACTTCAAACTTCATATATATGTTTCTTATTATCACTCAACATATGTGAGGAGGTTAAATACTCTAGCAAGACTATTTCCAGAATTATCTCCCCCTTGAACTAAGATTTTTTTCGAGAAATTGGTATTTTTCACTCCAACTTCTTCATTCCTTATAGGATTTACTTTAAAATCCCACACAAGGTTGTATAAACATAATTTCCTTACTAGACAGGGAAACTTAACACATTACTGCGATATAGACAAACTTAGAACTCAAAAGATTTATGTTCATTCATGTCATTCATCCACTGGTAAAATTGAATGGCCAATGGCCCATCAGAATGTTGCTGGGGTTCTAACCGGTAGGGGACTTATGGATTGCTTGCAATACTATGATAATTGCTTGTTTTAGCTTGAATGTACCTTATCTCCAATTTATCTTTTAACTTTTGCTGTATGCAACAGGACCAATTCTGCCAGTATTTTCCCACAAAATGATTTGTTGTTTTATCCAGATTGATACATTTACAAATCCAGTTAAGATATTAGGCAAGTTACGGGTAAAATGAACAAAATATATATGTATGAGTAGCAGAAAATTTGTTGTTATACCTTGATGTCCTTTTGTTATAGAAAGTAAAAGACCTGATGTCTGAAAAATTTAAATAATGAGTGCTAATTGTTTTATTTCACCTCACTATTTTTAGAATGTTGATTTCCTATAGGCCAACGGGAGTTGTTCTTATTGTTAATTCAAGTGTAATGTATGACTAAAAATTGTGTACTATTACATTATTATGGTTACAGTACTTTTGAACTCTAAAAATCTTAAAAATAGAAAAATGCAGAAACAATGTCCCAATGAAGTATTTGTTCGGGAAATAAAATAAATAACACATAGGTTTGTGAGTAACAGCAAAACAGCTAACGCCTTGGGTGACAGTATTTTTCTCAGGTATTTTCATCAGGGTATAATTTTACTGTTACAAACCTATGTGTTATTTATATAATATCAATATCCTTGTGATATTTTAGCCACGTCTGAGATGATCAGGATCATGCAGGAGGAAGGAGAGGTTGTACTCTGTGTTGGCAGCTCTATTAATAAACAAAATGTTCCACTATTCCTGCAGGCAGATTGTAGGTAAGCTGTTAATGTATATTACCAGGTACAATTCCATTTGTTGTTTTAATGTGTATATTTTATTGCTTATTTATATATTTTCAAATACACAGAAAGATAATAATATTTTTTTTGTAAGTAGCATCAAGCTTTTAGCTAGTTATGGTTATAAATAGTGCTAATTAAAATCATAAATGTAAATACTTTGATAAATATGATTATATATAACCACATTTTATGTCATTGAGTAAGCATTTACAATGACTAGTAAAACCACAAGTTAAAAAAGTTCTTCTGGTGTACTCTATCAATATTTATATGTATTTTTTTACACATCTTTATCTTGACTATTTGAAGAATAGGGAAAGCTTTTGTACCCACCCAGGTGTTAGCGTCGCCTTAACACTTTGGTTAAGTTTTTTGTGCAAGTTGGTATCTCCAAAACAACTGAAGGGAATAGGTGGAAACTTGTACTCTGTGATTATAAAACATGATGGACACAGTTGCTATAACTATGAATTTTGATTTATGCCCCTTTTCTTACTATCAAACACTGAGAATAGGCAAGCGCCCTGTCGTAAGGACAGCTCTTGTTTAATATTCCTTTTGACCACAAATGGATTCTTTCAAAATGAAAGCACCGTATCCACCATATTGTGGATATTTGTACACCATGGAACTATAGCTGAAAATGTTTATATCTGGATTAGATGGGAAAAACACACTTCTGCCAAGTCCAGGATAACAACTATTTGCTATAACTTTACTGATTTAGTCTAGCACTGGAGCCATTGTGTCCACAAGTATGTATAAGACAGCCGACTGCCAGTTTGCTATGGGATATGGATGTACCAACACCTCTGCAGTTAGCCAGCTCCCTTCTCTCTATCATGTGTCCCATTCTAATCAGTAAAAATGAAAACATCAGTTTGATACATCTTATAGCTGAGGTAAGTATACTTTATGTCAGGGTCTTCATCAGGGAATGATTACAGGTGTTTCTTGCATTAAAATTTGTCAGTCAACATTGTGTGGTTGAATAATTTCATGTATGAAAACTAATACTAATAAACTAGCACGTGAAAGGTCATTGATTTTACTCAGGTGCTTGAAATAATACTTTGAAATGTTCCCCAAGCTCTTCTACAGTCAGTAGAATGAAAACAAGGTGCTTGAAATAAGGCATGGAAAGGTATACCAAGTTCTTCCACCACCAAAAATTATGGTAAAATACCAAGAAAAAAATGCAAAGAAAGTGAGAATGTTTATTTAGGTTGGTATTTATTGTATAATTTCCAACAGTTTCAGCATTCTGTTTTTGATGGCAAAAGTTTGTGAAAAGAAAGCCATGGCTTATGCTCTAAGAAGTAATAAATTGTTGTGGAACTTGTCACACTAGTTAAATAAGTTGAAGATAATGTAATATGTGTATTATATTCCTCAGTGAAAACTGACTTCTAAAATGTATGATCAATATTTACAGTATTTTTATTATCATTTCTTTATTTGTCTAACAGGCACGTTCCCAGCTGATGTCAATGAGGAACTGTTTCTACCTGATGTTATGCTGTAGTTTGTCCATCACGTTTGCTCAGGTTTTAGCTAGTTTATTTCTACTCCCTCCTATTCTACCAGCTCAACATTTACTCTGGCTCTCCTTGATTGTCGTTCCCCTGCTGGGCCTCACCATGATGGGTAACTCTGTAGATGCTAGAGTGATGTCCCTTGCTACTAGAAAAAATGCTCAACATATCACTGCAGAGGTAGGGTTTACTTTTTAAAGGATTTTCTTGTTTGTTACAACAATTCAAACAGCTGTTCTTTTATTTTAAGTCAGTAAAGAATATCTCCACTTAATTTTTTGAGAGAAAAAAAAACAACACTAAATTATAATAAATATAATGCCAGGCTAATGCAGTGGTTTTGCTTATTGTTGCCAAAAATAGCTGAACATGTGTCTAACTCTCTATGCAGATGTATTTGGAGGGAATTTTATCATAGGACTTGATATTGCAGGAATGGATGGGACTCTACCAGGGATTTGAAGATCCCTGCTGTTTTGGTAGGAAAGAGGGGGTGGGGGCAGAGAGATACAACAAATGACTTGTGCATTACATGTAAATGTAACATGCTTTATTTTTAATTTTGTTCTTTTAGATAAAAAAAGTACCTAAATAAGGTTAAAATATTCTATTTATAGAACAAAATTGATTCTTACCATATCTTTTATATTTTTGTTTCTCTTTTGTTTTCAGATGATACTGCAGTTTATTGTTTATTATGTGATGAGATTTTTACCTCCAGTATCAGCTGCATTGTTTTGTTACTATTTAACCCTGCAGTCTTACTGTCAGACTGTCACCCACAATAACTCCACAGACAGTTGTGCAATACATGATTTTTTGTAAGTCAAGGAACCAGTCCAGTTCTTTCTTTAATCTGCTACATTGTTTGAACTGTTAAATCTCAACAAACTTTTTACAACAATTTTCTTTAAATATGTTTGAAAGGTTAATGTAATTATAGCACTTTAAGTTGTTATGAAACAATAAAATGAAGATATTTTTACATTTGCAAAGTTGCAGTGCTTGAAAAAATCAAATAATATTGTATAATTTGATCAAATATATATATGTATCAGAAAATATTGTGAAACAAGGTTTCCATACCACGTTACATATCAGCTGATGCTGTATACAGGTACACTGTTATATTGTTGCACCTTATGTACATGTACTGCTGTCAATTATGATGCAATGGGTGAACTGTGCTCCAGAGAATTCAAAGTGGTTTACTTCCATGATCCGGAAGATCAAAAAACTGCAAAAACTGCAACTACGCTTTCAATCTGTTCCTGTTTTTTTCTCAAATAAAGGAAGTTTGCTGTATTATAAATTTGTATAAAGATTCTGAACAGGTTATATGGCCATATAGAAATGGTTTTTGACAATAAAACCATTGCAGCTATTATGAAAAATACTGTTTATATAGGGCCATATAAGCTGTCAAAAATCTTTATATCTAGTAATATATCCAAAAAATATTTTACACTGGTGAGATTTGCAAGTCATACATTTATAGTAAGTTATTCATTTAACACATTGATATATAAATGATCTTTTCTCAAATAGGACTGAACTTAATAGTAATCTAAAGTTTTATATTGCAGTAATACGTCTCCAGATGCTAGACGAACTTGGACAGAAAAATTCTCTGGAGGGCTGGTCCTTGCTCAGAATATATTTGTTTTCCTTCTAGTCTTTTATTTTGGTAAGTAAATATCAAATAATTAATATCTTGCTGTTGTTTGGTATCAAGGATATCTTTTTGAATTAGTGAATCCTGCCCTGTAGGATTTGGTATATAAATTTCAAAATAAGGAAGAATTTCAATATGAGGCAATTTCAAATCTCATAACTGTTCTGAACAGGTGTATTACAGGTGTACGATTATTGAAAAAATTCTCTAAATGATTAGATTTATGCTGAATATATCAGTCTATTAATTGTGTATATAATCAATGTAAGTGATGCAAGTTTAAGTTTCATTCAAATAAATTTTCTAAATACCTTTCGTCCACAAATTTCTTGTTAAAAATATTGAAATTGACAAAAATATACTGAATCAAAAATGAATTTTTGAAAATGATCATTACACAAATATTTAGTTTGAAGAAAGATAAGTGTAATGATAAAATATTATAAATATTTTACTTAATCATGGTAATGCCATTTTTTTTTTTTTTTTTTTTAGGAGAATGGACTAATAGCATACAATACAGTATTAGTAATTATACATAGTCAATACAGTATTTGAAATTTTGCCTGAACTGATTTTGTCCTTAAAACCAACATAGATGTAAAACAAGTTATTTGAAATAAATATCCATTACAACTCTTTGCTGTAGGCCCAATTATTAATAGTCATGACTCTCTTTTTCAGAGTTTATTTCCTTGAGTTTTGTTCACTGGAATGACCATATATGGCAACAGTTTCCAGCTACAAATAAACTTTGGTTGATTGTTGTACCACTTTTGTAAGTGATAAAAGTATTCCTCTATTGTATTTCGTTCTCACAAATATTTTAGCATAAGAGTTATAAAATTACAGGTTTATTATGCTCCCCGAAAAATTTCGGGGGAGCATATAGTCGTCGGGTTGTCCGTCCGTCCGTACGTACGTACGTCCCGAATTCGTGTGCGGCCCATAACTTTGTTTTCGGGGGAGCATATAGTCGTCGGGTTGTCCGTCTGTCCGTCCGTACGTACGTACGTCCCGAATTCGTGTCCGGCCCATAACTTTGTTATTTGAAGTCAGATTTTAAAACTATTTCACAGAAATGATCACCATATTGAGACGACGTGTCGCGCGCAACATTTGGCTCGCTACCTTGAAGGTCAAGGTCACAGCATGACCTTGCAGCAAAATCGTGTCCGGTCCATAACTTCATTATTTGAAGTCAGATTTTAAAAATATTTCACAGAAATGATCACCATGTTAAGACGACGTGTCGCGCGCAACATGTGGGTCGCTACCTTGAAGGTCAAGGTCACAGCATGACCTTGCAGCATAATCGTGTCCGGCCCATAACTTCGTTATTTGAAGTCGGATTTTAAAAATATTTCACAGAAATGATCATCATATTGAGATGACGTGTCATGCACAACATTTGGGTCGCTAGCTTGAAGGTCAAGGTCACAGCATGACCTTGCAGCAAAATCATGTCTGGCCTATAACTTTGTTATTTGAAGTCGGATTTTAAAACTTTTTCACAGAAATGATCACCATATTAAGATGACGTGTCGCGCGCAACGTTTGGCTCGCTACCTTGAAGGTCAAGGTCACAGCATGACCTTGCAGCAAAATCGTGTCCGGTCCATAACTTCGTTATTTGAAGTCAGATTTTAAAAATATTTCACAGAAATGATCACCATATTAAGACGACGTGTCGCGCTCATCATTTGAGTCGCTTCCTTGAAGGTCAAGGTCACAGCATGACCTTGCAGCAAAATCGTGTCCGACCCATAACTTCGTCATTTGAAGTCGGCTTTTAAAACTATTTCACAGAAATGATCATCATAATGAGACAATGTGTCGAACGCAACATTTGGGTCGCTACCTTGATGGTCAAGGTCACGGCATAACATTGCAGCAAAATCGTGTCCGGCCCATAACTTTGTTACTTAAAGTCGGATTTAACAACTATTTCACAGAGATGATCACCATATTAAATCGACGTGTTGCATGCAGATTTGGGTTGCTACCTTGAAGGTCAAGGTCACAGCATGACCTTGCAGCAAAATCATGTCCGGTCCATAACTTCGTTATTTGAAGTTGGATTTTACAACTATTTCACAAAAATGATCACCATATTGAGACAATGTGTTGTGCACAACATTTGGGTTATTTTTACCTTTGAACTTTGTCTGTGACTAAAGCCCCCCCCTTCCTGTGTCCAAATGAAATTGATTAATTAAGTACACATAGGACAAAAGCCCCCCCCCCCCCCATCAAAAATACAGGTAGGACAAAATCAAACAATTGTTATTGAGAATCTCGTCAGTTTAAATCCGGAACTTGATGTATTGAGACAATTCAGAATCCGTATGTTTAATTTAACAAATAAATGCAACTGCTTTAAAAGACAATTTACATTAAGATTTAAATTTAAGAGTACAAAAGTTCTTATTTGATTTATTGTGTAATTCGTCAATTATTTATTGATGATGTGAATGTTTTTATGTTTATTATATATTGTACAGTACAAATGTAAATGAATATTTTCAAAGAATCGTTTATCAACACTTATCAAGGAAATAAAAGTTAAAAGCGCATACTCGTTTAGATTTATTTGATGAATAACCCAAGGTCCAAAACACTGGGCATGTGAAAAAAAGATAGTTATCAGTCTGGTCTATAAACCTTAGGGGGCTTTTGGTTCATGGAATGGGGGGGGGGCTTTTGTCCTACCTTTATTTTTGATGGGGGGGGGGCTTTTGTCCTATGTGTAAATTTAATGGGGGGGGGGCTTTTGTCCACCTTGTCATTTTTAGATGGGGAGGCTTTTGTCCGGGGGGCTTTTGTCCTACACTCATACAAGTCATTTTTCCTCAACTGAATGCTAACTCATCTGAAACAGAGCTTTTAACTGTATGTCTTTAATGAATTTATGTAATTTATCTTACTGGCATGCTGGCTTCAAATTCAATATCAGAATATCCAAGCCCACTTTTAAAAAAACCTAAATAAAAAAGAAGATTGGGTTTTATTTGTATGTTTTTTTAAACCAGACATAAAATGGTTTCATCCCATCTTTGTGAAATAAATCTTTAAAAAATCAAACTTGAGAAAATATATTTATGATCATTTAGTATTCACAATCCAGGTTAAATGCAAAATTTGACAGAATTTACCACTTTTATCACCAAATTCCCAAAAGGTTACCGGCCGAGAAATTTCTGCATATCTTATAAGTTATAGATCATCACATTGGATAGCAAGTACATTATGCTAGTTTAGTGTTTGAAATTATGTTTTATCCAATAGAATTGCAGTACAAATATTTTCAAAAGAATCATAACATATTCAAATTGGTTAACCGGCTAACTATTCATTACCAGTGTAGTATATTGACCGTTTATAATACAAATAATTTCAAACACTAAATTGCTTAGTGCCACTCTTGACCAGTTTAATTTTAATAAATGCTTACTAATGAACACTTAACTTACATAGATCACTGAATTTACTATTGAACACTAATTGTACATAGATCACATAATTTATACCCTCAACAACATTTTTAAGTCTTTACCATCCTACATTGAGATGAGGAATTTCACATCATGTATATTATGATCATGAAAAAACAAGCACCTGTTATATTTCAGATTAATTGGTCAAATAGTGTTTAGTGCCTGTGATACGTATATAAGAAGTAGAGAAGCCATCTCCGCCTTGCCTTTATCTCAAGTCCATCCTGCAGTGTGGGCAGTAGGGTTGGCCTTTCCCATCGTCATGGTGATCGTGAACGAACTGGTCAAGCATAGAGAAATCAAGTTAGTATAATTAAGAAATAATATATCCCAAACTGTGATTTTATCGTTCAATAACATCACTGTTTGGAGTTCGGATGCGAGGAATTATATCAGGAGGGCGTAGCCCGATTGATATAATGATGCGCATCCGAACGACAAACAGTGATGTTATCCAGCGATAAAATCACCGATTTGGATATATTATTTCGATTCTACCACGACATCTCCATTTTTACACACAGAAATATAGAAAATTAGTTAAGTTTTTAAAAAAAAAAAACCTTGGTGTAGAAATATGTGTTTATGTTTATTTGTCACTTGTACTTTTATATTTTACACAATTTACGACACTTTGTTATTTAAGAAGTACTCTGGGACAGTTGGCCTAGTGATTAAGGTGTCGGCCTCTTAACCCAGGGATATTATGTTGTCACAACCTTGTTTCCTCCTATGATATTAGTGCTGGTTCGAATACGATTCAAGCTCTTACAGTATTTCAAAATATATATTGACTGATTAGCAAACAGTGAAGACCATGATCACAGACCTGCTCATCTTTGCAGTCTGATCAACGCCAATACTTTTGGCAGAATAGCTTTAAATTTTCACCTTGATTTCCCCAAAATCAATAATAGACAGTTCCAAAAATGCAAGCTGGAGGACAAGTTGATACAAGGAATTTAGTGGGTTAAAGCTTTTGTATATGCTCTTTATGCAAGTCTTTGTATATTTACAGGTTAGCTGTTCGATCACAGAAGAGAGCCAGACTTGATTTTGGAACAAAACTGGGCATGAATTCTCCATTTTGATATCTTTAAGCAATAAATCAAACATGCTGAACCAAAACAAAGCAGAAATTGCTTAGGACATATCTCTTCATACTAACTGTTCTCAATTTTTAATTGGATAGTCATTTCAACCTGTTATCAAATACATTTGCGGACTTAATCGTCATAGAGGAAGAATTGTTTTAAATAAAACTTATGTTTTTACCTTTAAAGGCACATGAGGCCTCAGAAATTCATAGTTTTGTTTTGTTTTATTTGTTACAAACGTCAATCACGTGTTTCATAATGTTTTGATCATGGATTTAAAGCATGGTAGATGAGCCAATATGGAAAATGTAGGAGATGATTTTTCATAAATATAGCGAAAAAGTATTTTTGATAAGATACCAAAATAAATTTTTAGGATCGTTGAATGTCCGTTGTCTGTCGTCCGTCCATACTTGTTCATTAACACTCTAGTGGTCACATTTTTGCCGCAATCATCATCAAACTTGGTCAGGATGCTTATCTAGTTGATAGCTCGGATGAGTTCGAACATGGGTCATCTCGGATGAAAAACTAGGTCATCAGAGCTAAAAATAGAAAAACCTTGTTAACACTCTAGCGGTCACATTTTTGCCTCAATCATCATCAAACTTGGTCAGGATGCTTGTCTAGGTGATAGCTCGGATGAGTTTGAACATGGGTCATCTCTAGAGCTGTCATTGATTCAGTGCAAAGCATATCAACAATATATCGATATCAAGTGACTAAAATCAACGATACACCGATATATAGATAATATTCTATACTCACATGTCTGTCATTCATTTTCATACCTGTTTCAATGATTTCAGTCAAAAACATATTCTGTACTGAGTGTCTTGTCCATTGCATGATTTTTTCCAGACAATATTTTTTGTCACCATTGCTATGAAATAATTCCACTATATAACAAAAGCATAACATTAGATATAAATAACTGCTTCTGTTTATATTTTGGGTGAATTTTACAATTTCTAGACATTTAATTTATTAGTCAAAAGTATCGATTTTTTAAAATGTGTATCGATTATTGATCGGCAAAAAAATATCAACGATACATCGATATTGTCGATATCGATGACAGCTCTAGTCATCTCCGATGAAAAACTAGGCCACAGGAGCTAAAAATAGAAAAACCTTGTTAACACTCTAGTGGCTACTGTTTTGATCCAAATATCCTGGAAATTGGTCTTAAAGTTTGTTTGATGATTTCTAGGTCAAGTTCGAATATGGGTCACCTGGGTAAAAAACTAGGCCACACTGCTCAAATATGGATAATCCTAGTTAACACTCTAGTGGTCACATTTTTGACTCACCTGTCATGAAACTTGGTCAGAATGCTTGTCTAGGTAATTGTTCGGATGAGTTTGATGGGTCAGGTGACCGATCTAGGGCCATCATGGCCCTCTTGTTAGGAAATAAAATTGATAGCATTTCTGAGGCAGTCATGGAGAGTTATGAGAATACATGCAGAAGTTTCTGGTACCAAGTGTGTTAGTGTTTAAACCTTCAATACAACATGCATAAAGATGCTCTCTGTTAATACATGTTGTAAAGTTTGTTTTATGCTCAAATTATGAAAAAAAGTTCATCATTCCTCATTGTTTGTTAAATTTTTGTTCAAAAATTTTTCAGTGCAAGACAGTTTAATCTGTTTTATTCATATACATGTATGATAAAATAAATTATCTAATTAAGAAAAAGCAGTTGATAATTGTCAAGACTGATTTCAAGACTGATTTTTTTTTTTTTTTTAATAAAAGTGTCAGTTGGAATATAAAAAAATAGCCGAGTCCAATATACACAGTCGAGTGAATCTACACTGAAAAGGTTGACTTAAAACTTATGAAGACATGTGTTGTTTTTGTGTTTATGAAGAAATAAAACTTTTGTTATTATAAACAAGTTAGATTATTTCAACTCTAGTGATAAGTATTGTTTTTAGAGCTCCACTTTTCAGAGAAAAAGTTGAGCTAATATCACAACCCTTTCAGTTCTGGTAGAGCAATCACCTCTTTTATATTTTCCCAAAGTAAAGAATTCCACTATTTTACCTCTGTAAAGCAAGAACCAAAATATTTGTTTCCTAAAATGAGCCGTGTCACTACAAAACCAACATAGTAGGTTTGCAACCAGCATGGATCCAGACCATCCTGCGCATCCGTGCAGGATCCATGCTGTTGGCTTACAGACCCTATAACAAGTAAAGAAACTGATAGCGAACAGCATGGATCCTGATCAGACTGCGCGGATGTGCAGGCTGGTCTGGATCCATGCTGGTCGCAAACCCATTATGTTGGTTTTGTCGTGACATGGCTCAAATGTGTTTCTCTGCAGAGATACTGCATGTGGATGCACAATAATGAGTTCTACCTGTCTTGCCAATATTCAGGTCGAATGTCGCCAATACCTATATCTATGTTCTCAGAAACTACAGAAGTTGTTCACTTTCAACTTGGGTTACTTATTCATAATCAAAATGTGATGATATTTACATGGGAAGATAACCCTAAAATTATATGTGGCAAAGAAATGATGTTTTTACTTTTAAAAAAATGTTTTTGACCTTTTAAACCTTTTTGTTAAGTTTAATTTATCAAATATTATTCAAGATAAGTCACTTTTAACTTTTTCACTAATAAAACTGGAATGCAATTCTTAACAGCAGACATCCTTCTATTATTTTTAGCTCACCTGTCACATAGTGACAGGGTGAGCTTTTGTGATCGCTTTTCGTCCGGCATCCGTCCGTCGTCCGTCCGTAAACTTTTACTTTAAATGACATCTCCTCATAAACCACTAAGCCAATTTCATCCAAACTTTACAGGAATGTTCCTTTGGTGGTCACCTTTAAAAATTGTTCAAAGAATTTAATTCCATGCAGAACTCTGGTTGCCATGGCAACCGAAAGAAAAAACTTTAAATATCTTCTTTTAAAAAACCATAAGAGCTAGAGCTTAGATATTTGGCATGAAACATCTTCTAGTGAGTGTCTACCAAGTTTGTTCAAATAAAAGCCCTGGGGTCAAAATTGGCCCCGCCCCAGGGGTCATTGATTTTCCCTATATGCATATAGTAAAAACTTAAAAAATCTTCTTTTAAAGAACCCAAAGAGCTAGGGCTAAGATATTTAGCATGAAACATGTTCTAATGGGTGTCTACCAAGTTTGTTCAAATAAAAGCCCTGGGGTCAAAATTGGCCCCGCCCCGGGGGTCCTTGATTTTCCCTATATGCATATAGTAAAAACTTAAAAAATCTTCTTTTAAAGAACTCAAAGAGTTAGAGCTAAGATATTTAGCATGAAACATGTTCTAATAAGTGTCTACCAAGTTTGTTCAATTAAAAGCCCTGGGGTCAAAATTGGCCCCGCCCCGGGGGGTCATTGATTTTCCCTATATGCATATAGTAAAAACTTAGAAATCTTCTTTTAAAGAACTCAAAGAGCTATAGCTAAGATATTGAGCATGAAACATGTTCTAATAGGTGTCTACCAAGTTTGTTCAAATAAAAGCCCTGGGGTCAAAATAGGCCCCGCCCCAGGGGGTCATTGATTTTCCCTATATGCATATAGTAAAAACTTAAAAAATCTTCTTTTAAAGAACCAAAAGAGTTAGAGCTAAGATATTTAGCATGAAACATGTCTTAATAAGTGTCTACCAAGTTTGTTCAAATAAATGCCCTGGGGTCAAAATTGGCCCCGCCCCGGGGGGTCATTGATTTTCCCTATATGCATATAGTAAAAACTTAAAAAATCTTCTTTTAAAGAACTCAAAGAGCTATGGCTAAGATATTTAGCATCAAACATGTTCTAATAGGTGTCTACCAAGTTTGGTCAAATAAAAGCCCTGGGGTCAAAATTGGCACCGCCCCGGAGGTCATTGATTTTCCTTATATGTGTATAGCAAAAACTTAAAAAATCTTCTTTGAAAAAACCCAAATAGCTAGAGTTAAGATATTTAGCATGAAACATCTTTTAGTGAGTGTCTACAAAGTTTGTTCAAATATTGTCAAAATTGGCCCAGCCCCGGGGGTCATTGATTTTCTTTATATGTGTATAGCAAAAACTTAAAATCTTCTTTGAAATAACCCAAATAGCTAGAGTTTAGATATTTAGCATGAAACAACTTCTAGTAAGTGTCTACAAAGTTTGTTCAAATAAAAGCCTTGGGGTCAAAACTGGCCTGGCCCCAGGGGTGTCATTGTTTTTAACTATATGTGTATAGTAAAAACTTAAAAAAAATCTTCTTTTAAAAAGCCCAATGAGCAAGAGCTTAGATGTTTAGCATGAAACATCTTCTTATTATTCTACCAAGTTTGTGCAAATAAAAGCCCTTGGGTTAAATTGGCCCTGCAACGTTGGGGGGGGGGGCAGCCTATATACAGGTGAGCGACCTCAGGGCCATCTTGTTGTTTAATGACGTCTCATTTTATCCCTTGCCAAAAGGTGGCGTGGGATATAGAAATCTCAAAAAGTATTTGAGGTATCAACTTGAAACTTCATAGAGTGCAGTGCACAAGAATGATAACTCTACCCTGCATAATTTTTTATGCCCCCCACCCCCCTTCGAAGAAGAGGAGTATATTGTTTTGCTAATGTAGGTCTGTCCATAGGTAGACCACATGGTTTCTGCTGATTATCTTTAGAACTATTTATCACAAGGTTTTCATATTTTTTCACATAGTGATTGGTCATAACTAGTGGATGACCCCTATTGATTAGGCCAAAGGTCAAGGTCACAGGGTCCTTAAATGTCTAAATGGTTTCTGCTCATTATCTTGGTTACAATTCATCACAGTCTTCTTATTTCACATATTGATTTGTCATAACTAGTAAATGACCCCTATTGATTTTAGGGTCACTAGGTCAAGGTCACTGGGGCCTTACATGTCAGAATGGTTAAGGCTCATTATTTTGGTTACAATTCACTACAAAATCTTATTTCACATATTGATTGGTCATAACTAGTAGATGACCCCTATTGATTTTGGGGTCAAAGGTCACAGGGGCCTTTAATGTCAGAATGGTTTCCGCTGATTATCTTGAAAAGTATTCATCACAAAGTCTTCATATTTCACATAGTGATTGGTCATAACTAGTAGATGACCCTTAATGATTTTGGGGTCAAGGTCACAGGGGCCTTAAATGTTGGAATGGTTTCGGCTCATTATCTTGGTTACAATTCATCACAAAGTCTTCTTATTTCACATATTGATTGGTCATAACTTGTAGATGACCCCATTTGATTTTGGGGTCACTAGGTCAAAGTCACAGGGGCCATTCATGTTTGAATGTTTTCTGCTCACTATCTTGGTTATTATTTATCACAAAGTCTTCATACATTGTATTTCACACAATGATTGGTCATAAGTAGTAGTTTACCCCTGTTTATTTTGGGATCACCAGGTCAAAGGGTCCTATGATTTCAGCTCATTATCTTGAAAGCTAATTATCACAAAGTCTTCATATTTCACATAGTGATTGGTCATAACTAGTAGATGACCTGAATTGCTTTTGAAGTCACAAGTTCAAAGGTCAAGGCCACAGGGGCCTTAAATGACAGAATGGTTTCCTCGTATTATCTTGAAAACTATGCATCACAAAGTCTTTATATTTCACATACTGATGGTCATAACTAGTAAGTGACCCCTGTTGATTTTGGGGTCACAAGGTCAAAGTCACAGGGTCTTCATATTTCCAATATTGATTGGTCATAACTATTAGATTACCCCTATTGATTTTGGGTCACTAGTTCAAAGGTCACAGGGCCCTTAAATGTCAGAACGGTTTCTGCTCATTATCTTGAAAACTATTTATCACAAAGTCTTCATATTTTTCTTTTTGCCATAACTGAACACTTCCATGTACCCACTTATGGCAAGTTTCTATAACAAAATAACCAATAATGTGAGTCAAGGGCTAGAAAGGGGGGCATATGTGTTGTTCAACATTTCTTGTTTCTATATAGTTTTTATATTTCTACTCAACTGCTTGTTCATCCAGTACCTGGGTCTTCCTCCATCAGTTAAGCTTGGATATTTCCATTTTTAATTTGTTGGCGAGATGCAGAATCAAATCAAACAAATTTTGCTTTTCAATACAAATGCTCTCTCTGAAATCTGTTAATGAATCTGTAAGAAAACTTGACCTTGAATGTCTTTTAATGTTCTGGGTGGTATCTAAATACACTACAGTGTTGCTCTAATGGTCAAGGTGGTATCTTAATACACTAGTGATGCTCTAATGGTCAAGATGGTATCTTAATACACTACAGCGATGCTCTAATGTTCAGGGTGGTATCTTCATACACTACAGTGATGCTCTTGTGAGTTGTTCTTATGGCTGAGGTGGTACTAGTATCTTAATACACTACAGTGATGCTCTAATGGTCTAGGTGGTATCTTAATACACTACAGTGTTGCTCTAATGGTCAAGGTGGTATCTTGATACACTACAGTGATGCTCTAATGGTTGAGGTGGTATCTTAATACACTACAATGATGCTCAAATGGTTAAGGTGGTATCTTAATATACCATTGTGTTGCTCTAATGGTCGAGGTGGTATCTTAATACACTACAGTGATGCTCTAATGGTCGAGGTGGTATCTTGCTACACTACAGCGATGCTCTAATGGTCTAGGTGGTATCTAATACATTAGTGATGCTCTAATGTTTGGGGTGGTATCTTAATATACTATTGTGTTGCTGTAATGGTCGAGATGGTATCTTTATACACTGCAGTGCTGCTCTAATGGTAGAGGTGGTATCTTTATACACTACAGTGATGCTCTTATAGTCAAGGTGGTATCTTTATATACTATTGTGTTGCTCTAATGGTCTAGGTGGTATCTTTACACACTACAGTGATGCTCTAATGGTCGAGGTGGTATCTTGTAACACTAGTGATGCTCTAATGGTCAAGGAGGTATCTTAATACACTAGTGTTGCTCTAATGGTCAAGGTGGTATCTTGATACACTACAGTGATGCTCTAGTGGTTGAGGTGGTATCTAAATACACTTGAGAGTTGCTCTAATTGTCACGGTGGTATCTTAGTACACTATAGTGATGCTCTATTTGAGAGGTACATGTAATATTAGCTTTATCCTTTCCTTAAAATCAAGCAGAGGATAAAATCTGGATCTCCAGTTATATCAAATCACAATCAAGATTTTCCATTTAAGTTGGATAAACAAGAAAAGCTGTATTGTTCCGTATCTTTTATTTCTTTTGATTTCCTTTTTTATGCCGATTAAAGTACAAACAGAGAAAATAAAGGTGCGAATCTACTGAATTGTACCAAATGAATCATTAGAATTATATATATTTCAGGATTTCATTTTTCACAGTATCATCAACAAGGGTTTAACATGATTTTATGTTTCTTTCGTTCACTCGATTAACTAGTTGATTTTGGTCAAGTAAAGAGTCATTAAGTGAAAAACACGCAATACATGACTAGAATTCCAAAGAACAGAAATTCTTAATAAAAACAAAAGTAAGTAAAAAATTTATTGCATCATGAGGTAGGTATTGTAAGCAATGATGAGATATACTTACAAGATAAAATACCAACACTTATTTGTAGCACTTTTATAGCAAATTTTGATCGCAAAAAAAAATGTAGGCAATAAAAGTTTTCTTGCTTAAAATACTGCTCCTATTGAGTCCTACATCCTTCGAAGACAATAAATTTATAATTCTCCACAGTTAGCAACCATCACAGGCTGGCTAGTTTTGCCACTTTGGGAACCAACTTTTTCAATTGCCTTCACAACGTCCATACCACTTGTAACTTGACCAAATACCACATGTTTACCATCCAACCTGCAAATATTTCAAACAACTCTATTTCAATCCTTTGCAGAAGAGTCACATTTTTAATACTAAAAAACAAATCAAACACAAACCTAACTAACACATAGGTTATTAAATGGCTCAATATTTTAATTTATTTCAGACATCACTTTGTTAACATCAATTAAATCCTTCAAAAGGTATTAAAATTGTGACACTTGAGCTTCAACTGTGACATTTACCTTGACAACATCATAATGTGTTTCCAGTATCATATCAGTCAGTAGGCGAATATATAATAATAATCCATCTTTGAAGTTTTAAATTGATACCTTCAATACTTTGAGTTATGAAAATCAAACCCAATGGCAATAGAGATGAACAAAACCTTACCCCCCCCCCCCCCCCCGCAATAGAGATGAACAAATACTCCCCCGCCCCCCTTGATAACTGCTGTGTTAAATATATAAAAAGTTTTTTATCATACCATGGTGTTTTTGCTGTACACAAGAAAAACTGTGATCCATTTGTATTTGGGCCTGCATTTGCCATGGACAGAATTCCTACAAAATAAATAGATCAGTTTTGACATGCACACGGGTATATCATCATTCAATGAAAATTTACATCATGATTTATGACATCTATTTCAAAAGCAAATTTGTTGAATGTATGATAATGATCACCCAACAGAAGCCTTCAAGTCATCTGAGGCAAAGTAGTTCAAACAAATTTAGAGTCTTTACTCAATATGATATATAGCCCTCTAAACTGTGTGGCTGTATAATAAAAAGACTGGCATGTGTTGTTTATAATACTTATATATAATACTAATATAAAATCACTGTACCTTCACCAGTGTGCTTGAGAATGAAGTTTTCATCTGCAAATTTGTTCCCATATATGCTTTTGCCTCCTGTGCCATTTTGTTTAGTGAAATCTCCACCTTGGCACATGAAGCCTGGAATTACACGGTGGAATGGGGAATTCTTAAATCCAAATCCTTTTTCTCCAGTGCACAAGGCACGGAAATTTTCTGCAAAATAAAGAATGACAGATGAAATTCACAAGGTTGTTTTAACTAAAGATTTATTTGAAAATGTTCAATAATTTATTATAATAGACAGAATACTAACCTATATACTATAATCATCACCTCTAAAGATCTTTAAATCAAGTTTCTGTCAGAGACCATTGCGCACTCGAGTTTTTGTTCCAACTAGTAAGCGACTTAAAATGAAAACAATTAAACAACAAAAACTGACCCTTTCCTAATTGACAAAACTTTGACCTAACTATGAATAAAAAGAGGAACAAATGTTACTTACCAGCAGTTTTTGGAACAACTTCATTGTTCAGCTGAAAAAGATTAAATTTCTTTTTTTTTTAAAAATGCAAGTGAACATTGTAACTATGAATGGAAAGTAGTTATTAGTCTAAACCTTAACTGATAAGGATTTTTTTCTACATCTGAAATTTTTTTCTACATCTGAAATAGTGCATAAGTAAACAATGGCAACATTGTCCCAATATACACTGGTCACAAAAGCTTTTGACAGAGATGTGGGCATTATAGATACATGTATGCATATAGGAGATATCCTCTGGGCAATATCGGAGAAAGTATCTGGATATTTTATCACCTCTCTTGCAAATATTAACCTAAATTACACTTGTAGTCATGATAGTTATCATTTGTGTTACAATCCATCAAAAATGATTTCTAAATGGTCCCTGTTAACAACCTTTGACCTCTCTATGTGACATTGACTTTGGAAGATGGGACCTGGATTTTGTGCGCAATAAACCTCACAATGGTCAACATTTGTGCCAAGTAATATTGGAATCCCACTATGCATGTAGAAGTTTTGCTCCGGACAAGCGTTTTTCAATGACCTCTAAGTGTGACCTTTGACCTAGAGACCTGGTTCATGCGCGTGACACGACTTCTCATAAAGGTGAACATTTCTATCAAGTTTCATTTAAATTCCTACATGGGCGTAAGAGATATGCTCTGGATAAAAATCGGCCAGCCAGGGACAATGAATACTTTGAAATTCAATGATGGCTAAGGAAAGTCAATGTGCTATCAAAGTCTTTGGTTTAGAAGCCTTCAAGGGCAAAGGTTTTTTTCTGGCCGATTATATAGCGGATATTCGGTTATATTCTTAATCGAAAACAGAATCTTTTTTCCCAATTCACAGGCAAAAATTCCAAATTGTAAGTTCAAAATAATAAAAAAAACCAACTAAAATGATTTTTGTTTGCAGAAAATGATCAAAGAGCCGTAATATTTGGGGTTTGTCGACTTTGGTTGCACGCATTTAGAGCAAAATATGTGCTTAACATTGCTATGTGCTTCTCATAATTTGTGATGATAATATCATAGTATCTTTGGTTTTCATTTAACATTTTGGAAATTCTAAAAATTACAGTCAAATATTTTTCCCAATTTCAGCAAAACATCACTAAAATTCCCAGTCCCAAGGGTATGGGTTATGTTCCCAAAATGGAAGTTAATGGTTGCTATGGAAAGTCAATTGTTGCCAAGGAAATCAATGGCTGATGTGGGCATTCAATGGTTGCTTTGAAATTCACTAGTTGCTATGGAATGGCAATGGTTGCTATGAAAGTCAATGTTGCTCCTGTCAATCAATGGTTGCTCGACAATAACTAGTTGCTATGTAAAATCAACAGGTCTAGAATTTCATGATATTTAAGGACAGTCTGTAAATTTATGGACGATCCATAATTTTAAAGATTTTTTTATCTGTAAATTAACAGACATTAATTAAGAAAATAGCAATAGTTGCATCAAAATTCAAAATGAATTCAAAAATTGGTTAAAATGAATAAGGTTACATATTATATGATTAAATGTAACAGTATGGTAACATTCAGAACAATTTGATGACTTTCAATATTCACTTTTAACAAAAATTTCAAAATCATCATACAAAGATGAAACTCGCCCCATACCTTTGTAAATATAAACAATCAATTAAACAACTTGTCTTAAGCTGCCGCGTGCGGATTTTAGTGTAAAACGAAAAACAGTAAATTTCACATGGAACATCTGTAAATTTATGGATTGAAGAACCTTTAAATTTCTAGACTTTCTACAAAGTTATGGACAGTCCATAAATATCATGAAATCCTAGACCTGATCAATGGCTGTCCAATATCTAATGTGAAATTTGCTGTTATAAGTTTAACACTAAAAGCTGCAGCTTCAGTCGTGTTGTTTCATTGTTAGTTTACATTAGTCAAAGACAAAGGTAATAAATTACATCTTTGTAAAAAGGACTTAAATTTTGGTTAAAAGTGAAAATTTAGTCATCAAATTGTTCACAATCTTGCAAATCTGTAACTGAGTTAAATTTACTTGTTTTACTTAATCAGAAACCTTATTATTTTTCGGTTCAAAAATCAACAAATTATGGATGGTGCATACATTAACAGTACTAGACTGTCGGTATGACTAAACGGTATGCCTAAAATACGAAAGTGAGAATTTTGACGAAAGTGGGCGAAAGTGACTCTTAAAATTTGAATTGTACCGTTTTAATAGAGTTTCACAGTGAATTTTCTGTTTGTAGACGTATATTATTAGCAACATATAATATATCTTTTCAAAAATAATCCCTATGATGATTTAATCGCCATGATATTGTACAAGTCACTTTCGTAAGTGAAAAGAAGATCGCTGATATTGTATATAGAAATTATGCAAAAAATGGGGTATTAAACTATAAATCATCATAATGATTAATTTAGAAAATAAATAATAAGATTTTTTCTAATACACAAACTGCAAATTTAGTACATTTTCAATTTAATCTCTATATTTAATACTTTACAAGTCACTTTCGTATTTTTCAGCAAGAGAAAGGAAGATCGCTGAACTTGTATATAGAAATTAGGCCAAAAAATGGCGATTAAATCATGATTATGGTTATTTATAATAATATATATATAATTAGTTGCTAATAATATACGTCTACAAACAGCAATTTAACTAAAATTCTATTAAAACGGTATAATTCAAATTCTAAAAGTCACTTTCGCTCACTTTCGTCAAAAATCAAACTTTCGTATTTTAGGCAAACCCTATGACTAAATACCGAATATGAATTCATATTCGCGAATTCTGACCCGGCCTCTTGTCCTGGTTTTTTCTCAAAACTATTACTAATTACTAAACTAAAAAAAATAAAATGCTTTTTTGGGAAGTAAACAAGATTGTGTTCAGGTTGTTTTTTTTTATAAATCTGCATGATGTTATTTTAACATATCGACTGGGAAGGGGTTTTTGTTAAAAACACAGGGACCCAGCACAGTGTTGGGATAGTGTAAAAAAGTTATTCTAGAAAAAAATATATACTCATGGGTGCAAGTTAAAAATTTGGAAAAACCTGAACTATTTGTTTCGGGGCCCGGGGGCCGCTAGGGTCCCCGGTGGGTCCAGGGCAACGCCCGACCAGGGGTCCAGGGGGCCGGAGGCCCCCGGAAGCTCCTGCATTATAGCACATTTGAAGGCCTAAAATGCAATTCCCTTGAATGATTACATGCCAGATAACATACATACTGTAGTATAGTATTTTCACTTAAATATTGCTCACATAATTATTTTTTTCTTTTCTCTCTCTTTTTCTTAATTATATAAACAAAAACATTTCAACACAAAAAGAAATGTGCATTCATATATTGGTTCCACTATTTAATATTGTGGTTCCAACAGTAAAGAGTGATAAAACAAACCAATATATAAATAAATTGAAAATTGAGTTGATTTGTACCGAGTTTACGTTTTAATTAGGGCTGAGCTGACCCTGATTCCATAAACAATAAACTGTTTTCAAAAAAGATAATAAAACAAGCCTGGTTATGTTTCACAGTAAGTTTGTTTTTTTCATATGGTTTGGATCGTCTGCGTGCATTTAATTCTTTTTTTCCCCCTGGATCCATACTTGATGGATTTTCTACATAGGACAGTGCAGAAAGCTACGCCGGGAACGTCTGGCTTTTCCAGCCAGTTTCCGTACTTATCCCCGTTTCGATCACATACAAACAACCATTCCCATCTCCATTTATTTTTTGAGGTCTTCTCGATATCTTTTGTATTAAATCCTTCGTGTAGAAACTTCATTTTGACTAACAAATTGTACAATTACTTTCTGTTTACATATTACTCTGTAGCCGAATCGGCAACGAAGCCGCTTTTCATTGGATGATTATAATTAGCGCGCCAATCTAAATCGTTGTAATAAATTCACGGATAAAATTGCATGCCGGGATTAATAATACATGTTTTCGTAAACATCTCGTATATCTTCGGAAACTATCGGCAGTTTCCGCGAAAGTTTACTATTGACGCTTCGAGAACAACCGTGCGCATCCGTATGTTATATAGCGTTCTCGATTATGAACTTCTAATCGGTGGTACTTCTCAGTTTGAAAGAGTAGACCCGCACCATACCCCTCCAAATATCTCAACGGATTTACGTGATTTGCAAAAATGATCCCTCCGGCACGTGAAAAACCGGAACTTCCGGCACATGCCGGAAAACTTGCACCCATGTTTACTGTTTATATACTATATAGACAAGGGGTTGAACTCGCCAAATCGGCCGACTGTCACTAGTCCAGTATAAGTCAAAATTGCAAAGTCATTTTTACGTAAATCATATAAAGCTATATATCAAATTGCAGCTAAATGACATCACTAGACGTTGACAATAACATAATTGTCCCCACTTATACCGTTTTTGAACAACAAACCGATATTTCGGATAGAATGTCGTATTTTTGCTAGGTCGGACTTGACCGCGTAACCTGTCCCCCACTCGATTTTCTACGTGTAAAAACACAATTTCAAACCATGTCATTGTACCAACCCGCAATAAATCGATAAAACAAATTCAAAGAAACAACTTACCGCCGGAAATGGATTTTAAAATGTTTATTACGTCTGTAAGGCCACTCTTAAAAAATTATCTGTTTGCTATTGCCGGCCGACCCAGCGAAAATGCCCAGACTCAAAAGTTTTTTTCAGCTTAAAAAAATCAGATTTTTTTTTATTTCCGCCAAATCAGCCAGGGCATTCCACCTAAAAAATTCCCTCGAAAACAAAAATAAAATCGGAGGAAAATCACACATTTAATATGTAAAGTAACGAGTGATCATTCATAAGGGCATTCTGTGCGTTACTATTTAAAGTATTTACATAAATAGCGACCAACCAGGGAAGGATATTTTCCTTACGTCACGCAGTACTGCATGCGCGCGGCAATTAAGTCGAATTAACTAATAATAGAACGTATCAAATTAAGGTGTGGAAACGGGATTAAAAATAATGTTTTTTTCAGTTAATGAATATTTGTAAAGCATTTATATGGTCACTAGTTTACCATGTGGTAATTTTAATGTGCTTTGGAGTACATGTTCGTTTGTTTATGACTGCCGACACAGATTAAATACTTAGCCCATGCAATGAAACGTACATTTCTGGTAGCAGCGGGATTCTGTCATAAAATTGACCGAAAAAATAATTTTTTTTGGAAAGCTGTGGTCATTTCATATGCATTATTGTTTTGAATAGCAGACACAAGTATTGCAAAATATCTTCAAGATCATAAAAATGTAAATAAAATATCACAATCAAAATCACAGATTTACATACGTCTTAATTAAACTCCATGTCAAAATGCACTTACAATTAATAATATGTCAATAATTGACACGATAAATATCCAACATTTTTACTTGAGCAATAATTAAACATGTGTAATCATTTCCTTGACAAAAAGAAAATGACAGTTTTTTTCTGATATATAAAAAAGAGGTGGAAGTCAATTGAGTGTCGGCATTTCTTTGATGATTCGGCAACAACTACAGGTGTGTTAACATCAAAGAGTCACAGATTCTTCAGAAGAGCCGACCAGTCCATTTGTCAGAGGTCATTTCGTGTGTAAATTTTGTATTTATATTTAACATGGAAAACATATATTCCTTTTATTTATGGATGCTACTTTTTGCGCCAGTGCTTTTGTGTCTTTTAGCGCTATGGAATTTCAACAATCTGCGATAATTTCTGTAACTAACAATGAAATATTTTAACGATCCGCCATTCAGAAATTATAGGAGACAAATCTTGCGTGTGTTATTTTTTTAACAGACCTGTAATACATTGAGTAATGATCATGCATCCGTGAGAACGAAATGTCCTGGTGATCCACTATATAATTTTTCCCGTTCGTACGGGAATATTTACGCAGGATTAGTTTATCACATCGGTAAATTTGACCATGCTTGAATTTATGTCCACATAGTCATTTTTTTTTTATTTCATGTTATGATTACTAGTGAACATGTTTTTTATTGTTTTTGACTGTCTTTTAACATGTTAGTTTTGCCGATGATGATAGTGGTAGCCCAAATTTCCCAATCTGTTACAAGTACTAAGCGTATTAACTTACGTTCAGTAAAAATTATATTATCAAAAAAAAAAAAAAAAAGCCTACCTACCGACCCACTCCTTATAACTCTGGGTCGGCAATAGCAAACATATATATTATTAAGGACGGCCTAAACAACAAATTTCTAAATGTGAAAATGAAAGTTGAAATCAGCATCCATTGGCTATCACGTGAACGATTTGAAACGGATTATTTCATTGGTTGATTAAAATACGAAGCTGACCTAGGTCACAGTATCGTCTAATCAAACGGCGTCTTACAACCGGAGTCGAGTATGTATCATGGCTTCAAAAAAAAATTAACGGAAAAGTAATAAAAAAAGAACTGAATTTTTGCTATACTTGATTGGTTTTGGAACAATTTCCAGCAGTAAGTTGTTTCTTTGAATTTGTTTTATCGATTTATAGCGGGTTGGTACAATGACATGGTTTAAAATTGTGTTTTTACACGTAGAAAATCGCGTAGGGACAGGTTACGCGATCGTGTCCGACCTAGCAAAAATACAATATTCTATCCGAAAATTTCGGTTTGTTGTTCAAAAACGGTATAAGTGGGGACATTTATGTTATTGTCAACGTCTAGTGATGTCATTTAGCTGCAATTTGATATATAGCTTTATATGATTTACGTAAAAATGACTTTGCAATTTTGACTTATACTGGACTAGTGACATTCGGCCGATTTGGCGAGTTCAACCCCTTGTCTATATATTATATATACAGTATATATTTTTTTCTAGAATTACTTTTTTACACTATCCCAACACTGTGCTGGGTCCCTGTGGTTAAAAATCAGGTTATGTAAGGCTTGTAGAAATCTATAGAAATTATCGACGATCCTTATGATGATTTACCTCCATGACAATTCTGCCAGCTGGTTTGCCACCAATTGTTATGTCGAAGAATGTCTGAATCGGCATTTTTGCAGATGATGAATAGCGCACTCCTTGTGTTCGCAAAATATGAGCGATTCGCACGTGGAAGACCATGGAGTTTCGTTAATTTAGCAAGTTGTGATGAATACTTTCACACTTATTTTAACCGAAAAAAATACTTAAAAACGGAAAGATATTTTATTGACGGAAAGTACTTATTTTATATATATATTTTGGGGCATAAAACATATGTAATAATCCCTGATTTCATGTAATATAAATATCTGCTTTTGTCATTATTACAATAAATATTTATCCATGAACTGATGCACAGGCACGAGTATCGGACCTGAAAAGAAAATATGACCACATTGATAAAAAGCACTGGTGTTCATTTTTTATAGTAATTTGAACTTGTAACAGGAGACTTTTCAATGAAAACAGCAATTTTTCACATCGGCATTGGTTGCAAGGCCATAATTTGGAATGTTTGTAATTTAATTGTTACTTCACAGCGGAGAAAATTATAAAAATATTTAGACTGATTCAGCGTTTTGAAATTTTTTTCAGTCAAATAAGCAAATTCAATGGTAATATATTGGTATAAATTACCTCTTAATATGAAAGAAAATGAATCAGATATTTTTACTTGTAAATCACAAACACTGCTGGCCAGGGCAATGCTCAACTTTTTTACTTCTTCTAAAACAAACAAATCAATAGTTTAAACCAATCTTTAAAAAGGAAATTTAAGGAAATAAAAATAAGTTTTTCCTTTTTTAAAGTTTTAATTGGTCTGTCTAGTCACACTTGTTGTTTTGTCTAAGTATAAATCCTTTCAATAAATAAATGACAAAGTTAAGACAATATAATCAAAATTAAATCATTTGACTGTCAAGGTCAATTGAAGGTCAAGGCCATTCTAAAATTATTCCACATGTCTGTTTGGTCACAAGTGTTTTAAAAAGCCGTCAAAACACATGAGGAAAAAGGTTAAACCTTAATGAAGGTCTTGTCCAAAATGTTGTTTTGTCGGAGTATGAAGATAATTCATTTATTAATAACCAAGTTACAGTCAATTATAGCAAAAATCAGTGGAAATTTAATTATTCAACTTTCAAGGTCAAGGTCATAAAAGAGCCAAGGTCAATTTGAGTTATATATACATGAAGGTTTTATCCTAAAGAATGCTGTGTTATAATATGAAGTCAATCTATTCATTAATAACAGTTATAGCCAGTTATAGCAAAAAAAGAAAATTTCACTAATTTGAACTTGGAGGTAAAGGTCATTTATGACTGAAGGTCAAGGTTATAAGATGAAGTATATCCATTCATTAATAACAAAGTTATAGCCAGTTACAGCAAAAAAAGAGAGAAAATTTCAATAATTTGACCTCAGGGTCAAGGTCATTTATGAGTGAAGGTCAAGGTCAGTCTAGTTAACTTGTAGGTCTATTCTAAAGGATTATTATGTTCATGTTTGAAGACGATTCTTTAAAAATAACAAAGTTATAGCCACTTATAGCTAAAATCAACCAAAACTTAGACATTTGACCTTGAAGTTCAATGTCATTTATGAATGAAGATCAAAGTGAGTCTGGTCTCCTTGAGGGTCTTGTCCCAAGGGTTGTTGTGGCCAAGTATGAAGACATTATACACAAAGTCCCTAAAAAATTTTGGTCAAGGAACAAATTTGTGGACATCAACAGCAATGCCAACATGACTGTAACAATACCTCTATTAACAAATCGAGCTAAAAATTGAAGCCTGTAAATCTGAGCAGTGCCAATGAAAAAATAAAACAATAGGGCCATGATGTCCCTGGATCACCTTAGATACATTGCCAGAAAAAGACAATTTTTTTTATTTTTTCAATGTTTGTAGGTGTTTGCAACTAATTGCTTCATGGCAAATATTGAAACTCTTGGCAATTTGTATTTTCACACAAGATAACATAATTACATGTGTTTTACATTATGTAAGTCTATATAAACTAAGTGACAATAGGACACAATCTGTGATTGTTAATATTTTGTCATTAAGAGAGTTATTTCCCCTTGAACAGTGTTTTTGCATGTGGTTGTACAAGTTTGATCATGTGACCATTTTTGTGTTCAATTGAGCTCAGGTTTTCATGGTTGTCACTTTTAGAATTTTGTGATTTCTGGAAAATTATCATTATTTTTAGGTTGTTATAAGTTTGTATTGCTTTTGATGATTTATTGTTTTTTAATTAAATAATGATTGTGAATGAAATCAGTAATGTAAATGGTTTCTATGATTCATTTTTGGACTACTTTTAAGGATTGGTTCAATATAGTGGTATCCTAATAAATCTTATAAATTAATGGGATGTACTATTTGCGGTCTCCCCTCGGTATTTCCCGGTATCACAAGCTTTGACTGACTGGTCTCTGCAGGTTTTGGAGTAGATATCATTTGATTTCATTAAAAATACAAATAAATAAGGTTATTTTTTTTCAATGTATATCTCAATTTACAGTCTATTTTAACTGTTACAAATGCACATTGTTCCAGTATAATTTGCAGAATTAACAGCACAGTAGAGAGAGAAGAGTGTATTGTTTTTTTTTTTGTTAAATGTAAAAATTAGTTCCGATTTGGTAAATTTCTAATTTTTTTGAAATGAATTTGTGTTTTTGTATTGTATCATGAAAAAAATTTAGATGTTAAGATTGAACAAATTGAATGTATTTTGACACTTTTATATACCATGATCATGTACATTTTTGCAATGTTAAATTTAAAAAATGGATATATTTTTAATGATTTGGTTTAATCATGGTGTTTAATGTAATTTTTTTCTTTGAATGTACTAATTATGTGTTTTCGGTGGGAAAAAAGATTTTTTGTAATAGAAATTGATTCCGTACTTTAACATATCCCTTGTCTGACAAAAATAAAGGAGATTGATCCACAAAAATACTTGATTTTATTTTCCAAAAGGGCCTCAACAACGGTAGGATTGAAAATCAAAACCCAAATTTAAAAATAAATTACAGACAAAACTTTTAAATTTTGAAGGGTACTATTTCTTTATTTGGAACCTTTTTGTTAGTGTAAGGGGTAGGGCATCCTATTTTGAAAAACTTGCGTACAATTCTACAGACCTCCCCAATACATGTAACGTTCCAAAAATCTCCTGATAAAATTTGGTGTAAAGAAAAAAATTCCAGAACAATTAGGGGTAAAAGTAAAATATAGTAAAAAGGGGAAAAATATGTTGAAAAAATCTTCAGGAACCCAAAATTATGTTATGTTTAATCCCCAAAAATTCCCAAAATGATTTTTTACGGTATTGAACTGTTCCTTTAGGGGGGGGGGGGTTTTGTAGGTGCCCGGGTAGCTTTTGTCAGAAGACCGCAGTACGGTATTGAGGGTCCCCGGTTTGAGTCTCGGGGCAGGGGTTTACATTTAAAAAATTTTTTTTTTTTTTTTAAATGGAGGTGTTGCAATCATTACTCATGGCGAAAAGTATTTAGTGAGTAAGTATGAAAAGGATCAATTTGAAAGGGACCCTTTTTAAAGGGGAAACCACAGATGTTTCCCTTACAGTGTAGAATTACCGTCTGAATGCAAGTGTTGTATTGCTTTGAAAATTGTACATCTTATCTCCAATTAGTGCTGTACAACTAAATCCTACCGTCTGTTGAGGCCTTAAGACATGCTTTATCTTAGTAAATTACATAAGAACCAATTTTGACGCCAGGGACACGATATATATAACTTCTGTAAAGGACAATTGGTGATACTGTTACATGTCAATTGTAAAGTATCTATAAACTCTGGGAAGAAGATTTTCAAGTCTTCACAATGTATTTATTTTATAAAAGTCTATGATTGAACCTGTAACACAGTTTGGAGAATGAGAAAAACAAGAGGGCCATGATGGCCCTGAAGTCGCTCACCTGTATATAGGCCCCCAGAGCGGGGCCAGTTTAAACCCCAGGGCTTTTATTTGAACAAACTTGGTAGACACCCATTAGAAGATATTTCATGTTTAACATGTAAGGTCTAGCTGGTCAAGTTTTTTTTTTCTTTACACATATAGTTAAAAACAATGACATACCTGGGGCAGGGCCAGTTTTTGACCCAAGGGCTTTTATTTTGAACAATCTTTGTAGACACTTACTAGAAAATGTTTCATGCTTAATATCTAAACTCTAGCTATTCGGGTTTTTTCAAAGAAGACTTTTTAGTTTTTGCTATACACATATAAGGAAATCAATGTCAGCCCGGGCGGGCCAATTTTGACCCAGGGCTTTATTTTGACAAACTTGGTAAACATCCATTATAACATGTTTCATGCCAAATATCTAAGCTCTAGCTCTTTGAGTTTTTTAGAAGAAGATTTTTTAAGTTTTTACTATATGCATATAGGAAAATCAATGACCCCCTGGGCGGGGCCAATTTTGACCCAGGGCTTTTATTTGAACAATCTTGGTAGACACTCATTAGAAAATGTTTCATGCTTAATATCTTAGCTCTAGCTTTTGGTTCTTTAAAAGAAGATTTTTTTAAGTTTTTATTATATGCATATAGGGAAAATCAATGACCCCCTGGGCGGGGCTAATTTTGACCCAGGGCTTTTATTTGAACAAACTTAGTAGACACCCATTAGAAGATGTTTCATGCTAAATATCTTAGCTCTAGCTCTTTTGGTCTTTAAAAGAAATTTTTTTAAAGTTTTTACTATATGCATATAGGGAAAATCAATGACCCCCTGGGCGGGGGCCAATTTTGACCCCAGGGCTTTTATTTGAACAAACTTGGTAGATATCCATTAGAACATGTTTCATGCCAAATATCTTAGCTGTAGCTCTTTGGGTTCTTTAAAGAATTTTTTTTAAGTTTTACTATATGCATATTGGGAAAATCAATGACCCTGGGGCTGGGCCAATTTTGACCCAGGGCTTTTATTTGAACAAACTTGGTCCACATCATAAGAACATGTTTCATGCCAATATCTAAGCTCTAGCTCTTTGGTTTTTTAGAAGAAGATTTTTTAAGTTTTTACTATATGCATATAGGGAAAATCAATGACCCCCTAGGGCGGGGCCATTTTGACCCCAGGCTTTTATTTGAACAAACTTGGTAGACACCGATTAGAAATATTTCATGCC